TATTTTTGCAAGGGAAAAAAATCTGTAAGAATCTGGAATTTCCATATGAGTGGAAAGTCACTGTGTGGGCTTGGAGAATACAAATGCTTTCTTCCTCTTCAGATATCTAATGTGGATTCTGCTGGTAAAAGCAGGAAGGAAGTAAACAGAGAAAAAAAGTAAACAGGAGGACATAAAAGRAGCAGATAAATGTGCTGTGCCATGTGCTCTAGGGTGACCCTCCCTGAGCAGGGAGGTGGGACCAGWTGATCCACTGTTGTCTCTTCSAACCTGACCGATTCTGTGGTTCTGTGATTCCTTGAAATGCTCCTGAGATGTTTGCAGGGGGGTGCGTGTAGARCACAGTAACATCTGGTGCTCTGTAAGCACATCAGACTGATGTGGCTTATCCTGGAAACCAGATTAATGCAATAAACAGGACAATGCTGAGGCAGAAATTAGGAGCAGCTGCCCCAAGTGAGGCTGCGTGGAATAAACTGTTATGAGAAGGATTTAAGAGACAGCAGTTGAAACTAGGAAAGGTCTCTGAGGTGTCTTGCTCCTGGCAGTATGCAGGAAGAGAAGAAATGGAGGATATTGTATTAGCACGACACACCTGCTACATGTAAACTGTGATTTGGAAGTGTGGTATATTCTGAAAGCAAGTTGCTTTGCCAAAAAAATAATGTTGATAGTGCTTTGTGCTCTTGTATGGCTGGTTTAGAAGAAAGAGTCACTTCAGCAGCTTTTGAATAATGGTTAAAAAGATTCTAAAATGTGAAGATTAATGTAATGAGATGGATTGTAATTCCAAACAATCAGTGCTGTTAAATTCTCATTTTTAGTGTTGTTTTATGTGTATTTATTTACTATTTTGAGTGTCTTTTGGCCTCAGTGCTTGGGCAGCCTGCCTGTTTTGTGTACAGACAAGAACACTGGCCGCTGACTTCGGGCTTTTGCGTCCTTGCGGGAGAGGATACTAAAACAGGGTCCCCCTGAAGCAAACACTAACTTGCACTGTGGCTTTTTAAGCTAAGAAATTGTAAATTCCTRATCAATCAAATGAAGAAAGACTGTTTTATTACTGCTTGATGCTTTTCCTTAGCACTTAYTGCAAATAGGTTACACAGCCCTCCCAGTGAAGGTAAAGAGGAATCTGCCTCAGGAACATCTGCAGCTTCTTGAAGGTCGAGTTCTCYGCCTTTGCTCACCAGCAGTGACTTGGTCCTGCAGCAGCCAAGGATGTTTGCCGAGACAAACTGGTTTTATCTTCACTGGGATGGATGTTAAACTTCTCTAAACCTTCCCCTCATTTCATTGCTGCTCTTTGTCCCTCCCCAATCCCAGTSTAGCTCAAGAGGAAAGGCAGAAAGGTTTTTGCAGCCCTTGAAGGGAACTGCGAGGATCAGGGGGTTCACAGGAGCTGTTCCTGTGGAAGAAGCTCTCCCTGGCCTGAGGAGTGCTCTCAGTGACCCTCTGTGTTCAGCTCCTTGGGATTCCACTCATCCCACTCAGCCCAAAAGGTGACTCTGGTACTCATCTGTATTGCAGGGTAAAGTGAGAGAGTATGATGGATCACCTGCCTGCCCTCTGGCTTCCTGAGATCCCTAGAAAATCCCTTCCCCAGCAATATTGTGTTTAGCAAAGGAAATTCTTCAGTATCAGTAGCAGCTGAGATGTGTATTCGGGTAGAATCCCGTGAGATAAGACATTCACCTTTTTTTTTGTGATGAACTCTTACTCTCAAGGGGTTAAATCATCCTGGGCTGACACTTGCRAGATTTTAACACTGATGGGGATTTAAAGTGGCTTAGCAGCTATGAAATAAAATCCCTCAGTAGTGTCTGATGCTTAAACAGAATTTAAAATATGCATGACTTTCATTTATGTGGAGGTTGTAACAAGCTTCACCAGAAGTAAAAGTACATCCTCAGTACTTTAGTGTGTAAGTAGAGACTATGCCAAATGGCTCTMGGAGGGTCTTTATGATCTTTAAAGCACATTAATAAAAAAATTATGAGGAAAAATCTGCCTTGTATCTACAAGATCAGCGTGGCTTTGAAGAGCATGACTTGGGTTGTCTCATACAGGGAGGTGGGAAMGCAGGATTTTATTTATCCCTCTTCAGTGGAACATTCCTCTGCCATATCTGAAACTAATGAATGTAAACTTGTGCCTATTTTTCTCTTGATTTCCTAAAGGTGTAAAAATCTGTTCTTGTTTTGCTTCTATCTTTTTTTCTTTGCAGCTTATTTAAAAAAAAAAATCTTTAATCTTAGGATGTGGGCATTACAAGTCAAATAAAACTTTYCTTCATGATTGTGGTTTTTGTTCCTAAATTTCCTGGCAAAACGTGCTAGAAACTCAGTCTTTGGTTTCTGATGTAGGTGACAGTTGTGGTGGCACCTCTGCTGCTAGTGATGGTATCAAACACGGCTTGCTGTTCCTAGAGCTAAAATGGTGAAGTTGAAAGGTTTAAATGTAAAGTTAAAGGTCTTGATTGCATGGGSAGTCTTCCTGGGTCTCCTGACAAGCCCATAGATGAAGTGGGCTATAAAATAAACAAAACAACTCCTTGTACTTTGAGCAGTGGTTGTAAACTGTGGGGTTTCATTTTTCAGATTTTTCTGTGGTGGTTTGGCTGTGTTGGGGTGTGGTGTGAGTAGGCTGTGATGAAGTGATAACAGAAATCCCAGTGAGGAGCAGAACCTCTTAAACATTGTCCAAATTCTTGTAGCACTTATCAGCCTCCCAAACTCTGTGAGAGTAACCCAGACGAAAGCCTGCGGGTTGGTATCAGAGCTGCCTATCTGCTGAGCAAGGCAAGAAAATCATCTTCTTGCTCTTCTGAAACAACTACAGTAGATTTGAATACTTTCATTTTCAAACAATAGAGAAACCAGACTGAATCAGATAGGCTGTTTCTTCCACAGTGATTAAAATTTCATCCCTACGCTTAAAAATAAAAAAAAAAGAGCTTCTGTTAGCATTAATGCAAGCCTGTCATGAACTCTGATATATGCAAATAAAGTGTTCATGGATAGGAAAATTTTTGTCTCACGCCACACCCTGATCATTAGTTGAGAGAGTTAAAAGGAGTTTATCTCAGTTTCCATGGAGTCAGACTCCACACTCATTACAGCTCCAGAGAAGCTTTGTGCTTTCTTGTGCTGAGGCACAGAGCAAAGGCTGCTCCGTGTATTGACACTTTTTTCTCCTGTTCAGGAAGGAGTGGGTGAATACAGCAATGAAGCCCACAATTTTCAGTACTTGTCATGGTACATAGATCAAATGTAATCCACTCTGCCAGCATAACTCTACATTCAATAGCTTGGAAAGGAGGAGATTTATTTAACTTGAATAATGAAAGCAGTAAATCACTCATGCTCCCTCATAGCAGTCTTCTGTGATGAACTGAGCTCCTGCCGTAAATATTTGCTCTTTCTTCCCAAATAATAAGACTTTAATGCTATTTTATTTCTTGAAATGCCAGGGAGAATGTCAGCTTTGAAGAGCTCGTTGAAATTAATGGGACATAATCATAATTGAAGCAGGTATATTACAACTGCAAAAAAAAAAGTTTTCTTCCCTTTTTGAAATCTTAATTTACAGGATTGAAATCCTGATCTGTGTGCTTCCCTGAAACAAATTAAAGGCAACCCTGTGCCTGTGTTGCTCACTTCTTACGAGGCTTTTGCATATTTATTTTTCTGTAAGTTTTATTTTATTGGATTAACATTGGGTGTTAGGTTTGAAGGTGGATTTGCCTTCTGAAAGCTTTTCCGAGCAATGCTGCTCTGWGTTCTGCTTTTCCTCAGGCTGCCCAGGTAAGTCTTATTTCTGGGGTCACATATGGGAACATTCCTTTGCCTTGAACTTCAAAGTGGGTGATTTCAGTATTTAAAGGTATTTGGGGGCAAAGGAAAGGTATCACCTGGCCAGGTGTTCCCTGGCTTTTGCAGAACCTTTGGGATGTACTTTATTTTCTGCCAGGACTTAGGAAGAAATTACTCCTTGTGAGGGGGATGAGGCCCTGGCACAGGTTGCCCAGAGAAKCTGTRGCTGTCCCATTTTCAGAAATGTCCATGGCCAGGTTGGATGGGGCTTGGAGCAACCTGGGATAGTGGAAGGTGGTGSAATGAGATGGGCTTTAAAGTCCTTTCTCACACAAACCATTCTGTGATTCGATGACTTTATTCCAGGCTTTTATTTTCTTGTGTGCGTGTCCACATRCTGCTCGTCCTCTACAGAGCTACATCTGGTTATAAATATCAATCCTCCTCCTAAGTGTTAAGAAAACTTCAAATAAGTATTTTCAACGTAGCTTGGACTAACCAGCRAATCACTCCTGGGCACTCCTGTGTGTGGCAAGTAGAAATAATGCTCGGATTAGCGCAGTGATACTGTGATGTAGAGCTGCATGTAGTAATACCCTTTTGAAATGAACGATTCTCATTTAAACCCACATATTGTTATGTATTTTGGTTGTTTATTTTTCTTTTTTGAACAGCCTCTGGAGAGGCTGCAGCGGGGAGCAGGGAAGCCCGGGCGGCACCAGAGCGGGAGCCGGTGGGTTGTTCCCGCCGGGGTGTGAGGGGAGCCTGGAGCGGGTSGRGCCGGGGAGTTGGAACGTGAGGGGRGCTCGGGCTGTTCCCCGGTACCACACGGCCYCAGCCCGGCCATTTTCCCGCCGAGCCCCCGCCTCAGCGCCCCGCGCCCGCCGCGCCAGCGCCTCCGCTSATTGGCTGAGAAGTGGCGCCAGTGCGAGCTGCTGATTGGTCCATCCGCACGGCMCCTCTGGCCAATGACGAGGCGCTCTGCSGCCCGCCTTTGCTCCGACTGGCTGTGCCCGTCCCTGCGCCCGCCCCCTGCTGGGCCGCGGTGCCGGCAGCCGATTGGCTGGAGCGCTCCCCGGGCTGGATGTTTAATTGGGCGCTGCTGGGCTGGCCGGCGCCTCACCTGCCGCGCGCCGCCATTGGCCCGTCGCTCCCCGCGCCCCCGCCCATTGGCCGCGCCGCCCCTCAGGAGCGTCGCGATTGGCCGTAGCGGCCCGGCCCGGTATCCGGGTAAGATGGCCGCAGTCGGCGAGTGCTCGCTGCCCGCGCCGTGGCGGCCGGTSTCCCTCACTCACGTCGAGTATCCTGCAGGTAACGCTCCGTTTCGCCGCCGCCGGGCCTCCCGGCMGCGCTTCCGCGCACGGCGGGRTCCTTTCCGCCGCTCCGCGGCGCTGCCGAGGGCCGGACTGGTGGCTGCCAAATAGTGAGCCATTGAGCAGCAGCCCTGAGGCGGCGGGGCGCGCGTGCGCGCTGGGGGCGGTGAGGCACTCTGCCAGATCGTGAGCCGCGGCGGGAGCGGCGCTGCGCATGCGCGGTGGGGGCTCTGGGCTGGGGGGCTGTGAGGGGGGGGACAGGGACGGGGAAGGGACCGCGAATGGGGAGGGGGACGGCTCCGTCTCGGGGGTCCCGGGGCCGCCCGGCTGTCCATTGCCGCCCTGCGCGCTCCACACCGCCACCTCGCCGCCCCTGCAACCGTCTGGCCATGTGTGGCTGCCCCCGGCCTCGAGGCGAGGGTCTCACCCACAGTGTGCGGCTCCCACAGCCCCGCTGCCGCCCCAGCAGCGTGCYGGGATCGGTGTCACCTCCCTGCTCCGTGTGCTGGAGGTCTGGCTTGGTTCGCTACCGTGTCAGCGGACTCTGGGGGCCCTTGTGACACCCCAGGAAGTGGGGATGTGGCAGGGTGGCCGTGTCCCCGGGGTGGGCTCGACTGCCAGGGSAGTCTGGTGGCTGTGCTGGGAGTGGGGGTGGCACGGTGTCCCTGTCTCGGGTGGATCTGGTGGCTTTTCTGGGAGCACTTTGGTCAGTCAGCGCTGAGGGAAATGCCTGGAGGACTCCAGGCACAGGGTGTTCTGTGGTTCAGCTCCTTGCAAGGTGGGTTTAGGTTTGGCAGCGTTGAGAAGCGATAGGTGCCTGAGTGCAGGATGGGCTGTTCCAGCTGGGACAGGTAGGATCCAAAAAGGTCTGCACACCAGCAGCCCGACCCAGGTAGAATTARTTTCTGATCTGCCAGCATGCAGGAGCAAATGTTTCTGTTCAGCTGGCAGATGTCTGAACTGTGTTCCATTGGTACCCGTGGTCCTTTGTAGCTCCTCTGGGTCCTTTGTGCTGTGCTGGGTTTGGGTGCTTGTTATAATCAGAGGTAACAGAAAAATCAGGTGTCGGAGTGTTAGTGTTGACCATCTGCTCAAAATCCAAATCTTGTCTAAACACTGTTCTCAGTATTTCCAGTTCTCTTAGTGAGCCCCCAATTTGCCATGAAGTGTTGCCATGTGTCCTGTTTCAATAGCTGGATTTTAGTTCCTGATGAAAGCTCCTCTCAGTAGTGCAATTCCTAAAGCTTTTAAAGTGCTTAGGGATCTTCTGGGTTGAAAGTGCCCATTTAGCTAGGAGACTTGAAATGTGACAACACTGAAAAAAGATCTGGCACTGGAGATACATTATTTCTTGGCCCTCCCCCTTATGGCTGTTTCATGGTTTCTGTGATGCTTTATGTGAAATATTGGCATTTCCTTTTCTGTCTTGCATTTTCCTCCRCACTGTAAGCTCTTCTGCCAATCCCCCTTCTCAAATATATTAATGTGACAGTTTGGGAGAGATGGGGAATAATCTTGCCAGTAGTACCGATATATTCATCTTTGTATCTTATCTCCTTATCTGAACCTGGCAGTGTACACAGAGCGTCCTGTGCTCCATTTGTTGGATTGGTTTGAGAAATGAAGGTGGGGGAAATCGCTGCATAAGGGTTATCTCTCAGATCTTGAACAATGTGATGTAACCCGATCATTTTCTCTCTGCWTTGAGAGCCCTTAAACAGGCAAAGGGAGAATATCATTGTGTGGAGGGRTAAATCACCACCCAGCTTAGGGTTGTGTATGAAGGGGATGGGCACTGTGTTTATCTTGGWTAAAACATGTATTTATGAAAGCTCATAAAGTGGAGACAAAGGACTAAAACAATAAAGTAGCTGGAGGTGCAAAAGTTGCTTGATTTGTTTTTGTAGAAGCATTTAGGTTGGAGAAGCCCTTGAGACCACCAAGTCTAGCCGTTCCCCCAGCACTAAAGACCACCACTAAACCACATCCTCAAGTGCCACATTTACACAGCTTCTAAATCCCTTCAGGCATRGGGAGCCCTGGGCAGCTGGACAGCTCTTTCTGTGAAGAAGCTTTTCCTAATATCCAAGTTGGACATCCCCTGCTGCACCTTGTGGCTGTTTCCTCTCCTCTTATCCCTTGTTCCCTGGGAGCAGAGCCTGRCCCTGCCCTGGCTGCCCCCTCCTGTCAGGGAGTTGTGCARAGCCAGAAGGTCACCCCTGAGCCTCCTTTTTGCTCCAGGCTGAGCCCTCCAGCTCCCTCAGCTGCTCTTGGTGCTCYAGTCCCTTCCCCAGCTCAGTTCCTTTTCTTCTGGACATRCTCCAGCCCCTTAATGTGTCTCTTATTGTGAGGAGCACAAAACTGACCCCCCAGGAATCGATGTGGAGCCTTAGCAGTATCCAGCACAGGGCGATTTGGTGTCATTGGTGAACTGCCTGAGAGTGCACTCGATCTCCTTGTTCAGATCACTTATAAAGACATGAAACAGAGTCTGCCTCAGAGCTGAGCCCTGGGGAACACCCCTGCTGCCTAGTCCCAGCAGGATTTAACTCCATTCTCCACCAGTCTGGGCCTGGACAGGTTTTTTTCTCCAGAAAACAGTGCACCCTTCCAAGCCATGGATGTTCTCCAGGAGAATGCTGTGGGAAACAGTGTCAAAGGCTTTACTAAAGTCTAGGTAGACAGCATTTTGGTCTAAAAAAAATGACTTGCAATAAGATGGCAGGTTTGATGCTTTTACCTGGATTTGGGGAAAGTGCCCTAACTTTATTTAGAAAGCCGTTTACATTCAGCCTGTGCACAGCTAAAGTCCAGGTCCATAAAGCTTCTAGATAATGTGTATTTATAAAATAGTGATGTTGGCAGCGTGCTYAGCACAGTGGAGTTAATGTAGCCTTGTGCTGCTGAGAGGGGTCGGAATGAGAAATAGATCCTGCTTTTACCAGCATCAATTATTAAGCTGTCTTGGCATGTCATGCACTGCTCTGTGGCAAACAGCTTTGGCTCTTGGCTGATCCCAGAGGCTGCTGAGCCACTGTGGCAAGTGTCTCTGAAAATCTCACGTTTTTAAAGATTTCCAGTGCAGAACTGCTGTCACCCCAGCTTTCATCTGCCACGGGTGCCGGTCTCGCTTCCTGGGACTGGGTAAAAAGCTGTCACTGCTGATTTCTGCTTGGCAGACAAAGCCTGGTTTTGGGCTTCTGCTTGTAATTGTGAAGGAGAGAGGTGTCTCCAGAAGGGTGCTCCCTGTCCTGATCTAATGTTTCCTTATCAATAGCGATACATCAAATCCATTCTTAGTTGCTTGTGTGGCTGCACAGCTCTCCAGGGCTTTCTGTGATGTCCACTTGGAGCAGAATAAATGAGAAACAGCAGATGAACGCGAGGGTAATCAACTGCAGACTGGTCTGAGGAATGGAATCTTGGAGACCTGACTGAAATACTACCCACAGGGAATGTCAGGATTAAACACAGGGAAAAAAAATCAGCCATGGCAGTGCTGCCTGGGTGTGCTAAAGCTGCTGCAGAGGACAGCCTGTAAAAATATCATCCTGATGCTGCTTTCAGAATTTTTTGATCCTGGAGCATTTCATATCAGCAGCTCTGCTTTGGTGAGACCAAGGAATGATCTGGCATAGTGTCAGGTTGCTGGCAGGTAGGCAGGAATAATCCTTYTTCCTTGTGTCCTTCCAGTAATGAGCTGGTGATTGCATCAGGACTGTGAAGTCCTTTGATGGATGTATAAAAGCTGTATGTCTAATTGCTCTTTGAATCCATTTCCGATTTGGATCTCACAGTATCTTTGGCACTGAGCTTTGTAGCTTAATGTGCTTGTTGTTTCTTTTCTAAGTCCACTGCTCAGTAATTTCATCAAACACTCTCTCATGTGCASTGAGAGGCAGCAATTGTTTACTGTCAATTTCTCCATATAATTCACGACTTYATATCATCTGTTTTCCTTTTTCAGCTGAAAATCTGATTTATTTGATGTTTTCTGAGTGGCTGCTGTCGCATATTTATCTTTGTCCCTATTCTATTTGCCTTTTCTGTGTGTACTCTCCCTTTTTAGCTGGTGACACCAGAATTGCATAATAAATTTTTGTAGTGCTATAACAGTAACTTCTGTTATGCTCTGAAAAATGTTCTTCTAGGSTTTTTGACTGCTGCAGAGCACTGGATGCTACTCTGAAGGTATTGGCACACACTGAATCTGAAGTTTTTTSTTTGATAACAACTGAACTAAATCCTGTTATGTCATGGGTATAATTAGGGTTGTTTTTTCCCGTATGCATTGCTTTGCATGGGATGACTTTGTGCTGCAGACTTAAAACTCATCTTCAGGGACTTCCTGTCTGTAGGGTGAGTTTCACTGGAGAAACATTGAGTTCCTGGTTTGTTTGGGTTTTTTATTATTATTTGGAGAAAAGAAAGAAAACTTCCTCTCCTCAGTGCAGATGGGATTTGTAGAGCTCTGGGACTTTCTGGACCTCCTCACACTGGACAAATTCTTTAAGGAGAGAAACCTGGTGTGCCAAACCTTTTCTSTGCAGAATGACAGAGAATATTCCCATTTTCCCAGTTTCTTCAGGATATTTCCTCCAGCTGGCAGAGTTGGAGGGGCAGATGTGTAGAATCAACTTGTGGGTGAAGAGGTGCAAAGGTGTTGGTGCTGTGTYTATGATTTGGCTCAGCGGTTTTTGTTGTGCTTCAGTGTCAGCTATTGTAGCTCCTATAGGAATGTTAGTTTTGATAAACCCTTCTGTGATTCTCTACAGGGTGGGAGCTCACAAGTCAAGGCTCATTCTGTAGCTAAGCAGTATCTCTTGGAAGAAGCAGATCCCACTCTTGTTTGGCTGCTTTAATGCAGGGTTTATGTTTAATCTCCCTGCAGAAGTTGTCTGATTCCTGCCTTTATGCCGTAATTCAAAGCCTCCTGAAGATATTTTTGCTGTCCCACAGCTCATGTTACGGGGATATGCACAAGCAGAGGAAATGACTCTTTGATATCATGARTATTTAGTGATGTAAATACCCATGACACACATACACTGCATGTTGTCTGTCCAACTTGCACACATGCACTTAGCCAAAAACACACGACCAGCGGCAGTGCCACAAACAGATCCTTCAATAGGAAGTGGCAGTGGCAAAGCTCAGTCTTGTGGTAGGATGTGGTTGGGGGCTCTTGATTCACATTTGGACATCCTATACAGGTTAAGCTGATGTGGTGCAGCTCAGATATTTCCACCGACAGGATGCTGGGTAAAATGTTGAATTGGAGCAGAAGTAGATGCTGAATGAAGGCTGAAAAAAATAGCGTGTGTTAGAGCTATGTATAGTGCTGCACGTACTTATCYCTTGGCTGCCCAAAAATGAGGTTGTTGCATTCTTTATTTTTGCTTTTTGAGCTCCAGATGATGTCCAGGGAAGGCTAGACTTTAAAAAAGCAAAATTTAARACTAAACAAAACCCAAGGTATATATGAAGTAGATTTTCCTTTTGCATTTTTATAGAGATTTTGTGTCTGTTCTTAGTGGTTGGAGGAAGCATTTTAAAATTCCCAAGTTTAGTAAATTGAAGGAAAATTATTATTTTCTTTTTTTTAAAAGGAAGGATGCCGCTTGCTAGATCTGACTGGACTTTAAACTGTGGCTCTCCTGCACGTCTCCTTTCCCTGGGAATAAGTCTCGGAGCGCACTGGAGCGTGAGAGGAGACAGGAGTGACAGAAGTAATCACGCTCTGAGGCCCCTGGAGCACTGCGTGCTGAGCAGCACTGGCCTTTCTCTCAGCTCACTTTGCCTCCTCCGCTGGGGATTTTCAGTCCTTTCGGAGCTGCTTTAGTTACTGCAGCTCTGCCTTGAGCTGCTGATCCAGCGAGTCCATTTGTGATGGCATTAGTGGGTTCCTGGGATAGCTCCAGTGCTCCCTTCAGKTAGTGCCCAGCTGTTTGTTTGCCTCCTCCTCCCAAAAAAGTGGCTTCAGAATGTGACTCTGTTTAATTGCCATTAGCCACAGGAAAATGAAGTATTATTAGTGATGTCTGCTCTGTTTGAAATGGACAGCTGAAATATATGAGGAGCTTTTGTGCTAAGATTGAGTAAAGGACTTGGTGCCTGCAGGCACGTCTAGGAGTGATGGTGTCTGGTTCCCCACTCAGGTGTGGGTTGTGTTCCTGTGAAGTCTGGGTGATTTGATTTATTGGAAATGTTATCATGTAACATAACAGAGGATTTTGAGTTTGCTACTGCTGATCCTATTTAAATTAAAACACTACTTACTTAAGTACCTCTTCACCATCTGCACTAGAAATAGAACCCCCTGAGAAGATAAATAATCTGGTTTGGTTTCTACTTGACAAAATTATGGCTTTTAGTCTGGAGGTGCTAAGCCTTTACRTACCATGGCTTGACAGTAAATGATCTGAAACATGATGATCTCTTGATGATGAGCTCTCTTCAGTTGCTGATGTTGGAATTGAGGCTATTGGAAAATAWTCCTAACACTTTCAGGGTAGTTTGATTGTCTCCTGACAAGGTGGCTTGTCTCATGAATTCCCTCATCATTGATGACAGAATTCATTTTGTTGAGAGTTTGTGATTTAAGTAAAACCATAAGGAGCTTGATTGTCTATTGCCACATAACTGATACAGTCACATCCTATTTGTGTTGCCATAATCCGTTGCTTTGGGAGCATTTGGAATGCACCTGATGCAAGACAAACCTGCCATGTGGAGTAAGAAAAAATTTAAATTCAGCATCTTCTAATGCTTTTCAGGTTAAAACCAAAGTAGAATCTCACTCCAGTGGAAACACAGTGTGCTTGGGGGTTTTGTCTTCCAAATTTTCCTAACTCCTCAAATTTCACCTAACTCTTTCTAATAATCCTTRCTGATGATGTTGCCAATTTGACCCAGAGTTTGGAATTCCAGAGGCTTCTGTGCAATGTACCTGATGTAACCACAACTGTGTGGCAATGACATCAGCAGCATGAACTTTGTTGTAAAGGGGCAATAACTTCTTTTTTATCAGTTCCAGAGACTGAGGTTAAAGTCCTTTTTGCCAAGTGCTGCTTTGAAATGTGGGTGTGTGGGCTGAGGAGACTCGGTATCTTGCAGTGGAATTGATCTAGGAATGAGTCCAATGCTCAGTCTTGCAGAGGCATCCTGTTTCCTTTTGAGAGGAGGGAAGAAGCACAAATTTATGTGGGGGCTGATCCTTTTGTGTTCAGTGATGGGATGGCAAKGATCTGGTCTCTGAGAAGCAATACACAAAGTTCCCATCTCTTCTTTTGTTTGCTGGGTTCACACAGCAAGCTTGTGGTGACTTCTGTATGTAAAGATGCTCTGACAGACAGTTCTCACTCTTCTGATATGAATTGCTGATCTTGGAGCAAAAATACTCTAAAATTTTTTTGTTTCCTCGGAATTTGTGCTGACATGTTTTCTCCAAATACGTCTGTACATGTCCTTTTTCTGGGAAGAGAGGCAAGAAAAGCCTGGACCAAAATGCACAGCTGCTCCTTACTGCTGCTGCCCACTTCTGTGTCTGTTGTAGGTTCAGGATAAAGGTTTTGAGGGACTTTATGACCTCTATGAGATCCCATTGCTGCTCCCTGATTCTCCCTGGGGGATAACTAGACTGTTAATTATTTGGGTTGGAGGTCCAAATCCCCTTCTTTGTGGTACAAGTGGGCYACTGATTAAAAAGGCAGAGTCTCCTTTATTTCCCTGACATCTCCTGCTATGTTTAGCTATTTATTTCCTCCCCATTTTGCTAATGCTAGTGTTCGTGCAGACACATGGTGAGACAGATTAGGAAGCTGATCCAGCTGAAAACTAACCCATTTTAGTGAGAGAGTGGGAAAGGATTTGTTTGGGGAGTGTTTGCTGGCACAGAGAGGAAATAGAAATGAGGGGAATGGAAAGATGCTGCCTCTTTTGCAGCAGCCCATGCTTATGTTGGATTAAAGTGACTCTGGGCCCACACCCATGGTTGTTGTTGTAAATTGGGTGGCAGTAATATCTGCTGAATGATACCAGGCTCCTTTCATCCCTGATTTTGAACCYGCATGGAAGCACTGCTGTCTCCCTGCCTTGGCTCCTCTGTCACTCTAAACTCAGGGACTTGCTGCAGTGCTGAGTTTGYCCCTCTGTGCTCGGTGATCCAGGGCTCCAACTGACCCACTCTGTGGTGGCAGGCAAGTACTTGTGAAGTTCAAACTGATTTGTTTCTCTTGTTTGTTTCCCCAGGTGATTTCTCTGGCCAGCTTTTAGCTTATTTGAGTCTTGGTCCTATATTCATTATTGTTGGCTTTATAACACTCATCATATTCAAGAGAGAGCTTCACACGGTGAGTCCTTCTCTTCCTTCCCAGCGTCTCCTTATGACAAAARTATTTTCCTTTGTCACCTGGTGTTCCTGTATTCACACTTCTTTTTCTCTCTCTAAGGAGCAAGCTTAGGAAAGGCATCTTCCTGTCAGGGAACAGCAGGAGACACTTAGCACCCGTACCAGGTTAAAAGGCTGCTCAGCCTTTGCTGACTTCTGTGTTACTCTGTGGTGTGTTTTGGACATTATCTGTCCAGAACCATCGAGGGAGATGTCTGAGGAAGTACAGAATGCTGTTGCAGAGTGGGAACACTCYCAAGATCCAGTAGGATCATAGCACTGGGCAGCATATGCAGGAAATCATGTGTGTAACTCAGGAGGATGCCCTTTCTTTGAACTACTGAGGCAGAAAAGGGGATAAAAATAAAACCTACAGCTTTCCAAGGGAGTGGATCTGTCTTTAGGGGCTGCTTTTCAAATACTGGGGGCAGAAGTGAATTGTTTCTGTCCAAATTCTTATAATACTTTGTCTGCTCTGCCAGGTAGTTTGGAATCAGTGTCATGGATAAACTCCCTCCAGGATGTATAAAGCTCTTGTAACATTTGCCCTGAGTAAACAGATAAAACAGGGACCACTAAAAGGATTTTGACAGCACATTTCAAATRTAGGGCCACAGTGCCATGGGAACCAATGGCTCAAGGGACCTAGGAAAAGGAATTCTAACTAGGAAAGGCAGCTGCTCAGTTTTGGCAACTCAAAGGTTTCTTGTTGGCCCAGAAGAGAGAATGAGCCAGAGTAACTCTTGCACAGATTTGTAGGTTTCTGAATACAGAGACTTGTTTGGTGTTGGTAACATGGCAGGTGTTGAGGGTGATTCCCAGTTCTTCATATGGGAAGTCACCACTGGGTTGGAGAGAGACACTGGCTGACTTGCAGCAGCCTGACCCRTGGCTCAGGATGTGGAGTGAAAAATTGCTTCATCATGTGCAATGGGACTGAGTGTTAAGGAGGCAGAGTGTCATCACCAGCTGGGAATTTGATCACAGCAGCAGGACTAATTTGGGGGAGGTGTATGAACTGTGGAGCTGAAGAGTAAAAATAAATGCTACCAGTCTGGCTTAGCTCAGAATGTGAATTCATCTTACTCTGAAGACAGCAGCTTCAAGATGAAAATATTCATAGAGAGAAAAGCCAGAAAGCCTAAAAAGCTACCTTTGTTTTAAGCTATTTACCCAAATAACAGTGTCTGCACTCCCCCTGTTGGTCATCGGGAAAAGCCAATTCCTGAAAACCTGCCTTTTTAAAAAATAAGGTCACTTTTTTGCACTTTCTGTTGCAAGGTGCTGGCAGAAATGCTCTACTCTGTCATTTTTGTCTCTTTATGTATCAGCTGCTGAAAAGCTGGAAATACACAATGTATTGCCAAATAGAAAGTGAGCTGAAAATGAATGCTTTTCTTCCTCAGGTAGAGAAATTGGAAGCCGTTGGTTTTAACTCTAGTAGTCAAAAAAAGAAAATTAGAAACATAATGTTTGGGGTTTTGTCAACAGAGAGAGCCTGGTAAGTAGAAGGTCTTTTAGAGGGGATGACACAGCTGTCTTGCCTTCACAGATCTCTTTCTTGGGAGGGCTGGTGTTCAACGAGGGAGTGAACTGGTTAATAAAAAATGTAATCCGGGAGCCTCGGCCATGYGAAGGTAGGGTATGGACCATGGGTGTGGTGCTATCAGGGGAGTTTTGAGCAGAATGCTGATTGTGGGGGGTTAGAGGATATTTCCCCCTTTGCCTCACGCTGGCTGTGGATGCTTGGGTGTAAAAGGGCTGGCAGAGCCACCTAAGCAGGGACATATCCTGCTCCAGCAGCGTGGTCTGGCTTTATATCTGGAGTCTTCCAGCTGCTGACCATACCTTGACCATACTCTTTCTTCTTCTCTTCCCAGAAGCCCATTCAACAGTGACCACAAAATATGGGATGCCGTCCAGCCACTCCCAATTCATGTGGTTTTTCTCTGTTTATTCCTTTCTGTTCCTTTATTTAAGGTAAAAATTCYGTGTCAGGTTTTGGCTGTTGATATGTTGAAACACCTGAAATTGGTGGCTTCCTTGCTGTGTGCCCCTTGAGTGGGATAATGGAATTAAATCTGGGGACCTGCAGATTGTGGCTTGGGGGAATGGAGCATGTCTGTCTCAATCTGAATCTAGGGTTGGAATTACCATGGCTGAAAACTGAAGGGTGTGAGTGGGTTTCCTTTTACCTGTGAGGGTAAAGATCTCCTGATTTTCTAAGCTGTGATAGTGGCCCAGTGTGAGGGGAGAGGTGGGGGATAGGAAGGGGAAATGAAGAGTTGCTTTCTCATTTTTTCTCAGTTTCAGTGGGGTTATCTACAATCTTTTGGGTAATACCAAGCTGTCCACTTGCATGACTTTTTAGTTYACCTCCTTTCCCAAGGATTGGGTTAATATGCTGTGCTTTAATGAAATTCTTGCTGGGGCATGGCTTTGTCTTGTGCTTCCACATGTGGAGAAAGACAAAACTCACAGTTCCTCCTGACTCAGTGGGCAATGGAGGGACTCTGATGTCTTGGCTCTGTTGTTGCATATGCTCAACACGTGCCTCTCACATCAATGTGAGCGTCCTGTTTTCCATCACACCAATCCCTGCTCACAGTTGGAGACACACGTGTGGCTTCCTRGCTGCTCTCTAACTGCTGCCAGTGGGACAGATTGCTGCTGGGATGGGATYGAGCTGCCCATGACCCCAGTGGAGTAGAGAGAACTTTCCTGGGGTTTCAGAGGGAGGGAGGTCAGGACTGCTCAGCCCCCTGCCCTGTGCTAATGGCTCTCCATCTCTTTCAGAATGCACCAAACAAACAATGCGAGGTTTCTGGATTTACTATGGCGACATGTGCTGTCCATCTGCCTCGTCACAGTGGCTTTGCTAGTCTCATATAGTAGGTATGGAGCAACTGTTTGTCTTCTGCTCTCATACAGCCCCATGGCCTGTCCCAGCTGGCAGCCCTGGCATTCCTTACCCTGCCTTTCTCACCTAATTCTCCACTGCGCTGTGCTTTRTAGAAGTGTTGCCATGAGACGCAATAAACAAAGGTGCTACATGGGTGGTGCTTCACTGAAGGGTTTATAAAACCCAAAATCAGCTGAGCTTGTGCCAATTCCCCATGGGCTCCACTGCCATGCTCCAGCTWTGCTGCCTCACCCTGTTTTCAACACTAATCGTGGAAGTGTTGCCCCATGCCTTGGCACACCAGAATCTGCAGCATGTGKATTGCTGCAGTTGATCAATCCCATTGTTTTGCTTGAGCATTAGTTAGTCCAAACATTTATAGCTGTTTGGTTTGCAAGATTTAGTTGTATTAAGATGAATAAAGAAAATAGAACTTTGATGATGTTTTTTTTTTTCTCTTTAGTAAATGAAATGTAAAGTGAGCTCCAGTGATTGGAAAAACAGACAAATTCAAGCTAGAAATAGGTCACATTTTCCACAGGAAAGTAATTACCTGTTGGCACAGCTGACTGTACACTACTGCTGATTACTATTTTAAAATTCTGACAGGGCAAATTTGTCAGAGGTATATGGTCTAATTAAAACAAAATTAGMGGAAATCAAGTGGCCTGCGTTAGGCAGAGGATCAGATAAGATGATCGKAATGGCTTTATGATACATTCAAAATTCTTTTCACCCATGCAGCTTGTGCACAGATATAACAGGCCAACAGTGCAGCTCTGAGTGGCTGCAGTCACAGTGAGCACACTGGTCATGCAGCCTCTGTGCCTGTCACATTGGAGAGCAKCAAAATCACACCAAAAAATGCTGTCCATGTTCTTAAAAGATTTTAAGCCCCACCTTTGGTGGCCTGGAGGGGGCTTGTCCTGTTACTGGCTTTGGAAAAGTCTCTTGTGGGAACTAACTGTATTAGTTCCTCAGTTGATCCAGAGATGGATGAAGGAGAGTGTGGAGGGTTATTGCATTAAGCTCAGACTAGAAGTGCTCTTAGCTGAAACAGCTGTAGCAGGGAGGAATTTTTCCATTTCTTCCCCGCACTATTTTTGTCAGCTTTTTGTTGGAAAAAGACACCCATTTTTAACACCTGAAGAGTAATTTGCTGACACCATTTGTGGGTCCAGTGACCCCTCAGCTCTTGAGCCTTGCCTTCTTTTGTTTTAAAGCCTGTCTGGTRACTCTTCTCTTCCATTGCAGAGTTTATTTGCTTTACCACACTTGGAGCCAAGTCCTATATGGAGGTGTGGCAGGAAGCATCATGGCCATAGCCTGGTTTGCCTTCACACAAGAGATCCTAACTCCCCTCTTCCCAAGGATAGCTGCGTGGTAAGTCTCTTTATTCTGTGGAGGTTTGTTCTGGATGTTAGRAATGAGAGTTCCTGGGCTCTGTCCCAGTTTTGCATACTGGCTGTTGTGTAACCTACTTTGTTCCTCCATGTTTTCTCGTGCATGCATATACAAAGGATCGTGTGTCCTTGATAAGGGTGGGGAAGAGGGAATTCAATCAACTGCTACATTTTGTAAAGCCCTACTAAAGCTGTGAAGTGTGGCAGAGTGCTGGAGGAGCTTTGCAAGATGAACAGCAGACCTTTCTTAGTGAATGTTTAATGACCTAGTAAAATTGCAGAGCCATTTACATGTAATATAGTCTGGAAATATTGTGTAAGGAAAGAAAAAAAAAAAGCTTTTGATTAAATGTAACAAAGAATCCTYTTCCCGGTCTGAAGTGGTGAATAGTACTGTTAACTAAAGCAGGTTTTGTGCTGCTTTTTTTTTTTTCAATCAAAATTATGATAAAGTCTAATTATTTCCCCCTTTCCACCACACTGTCTGTTTTCAGGCCAATTTCAGAGTTCTTTTTAATCCGAGACACCAGCCTCATTCCTAACATCCTGTGGTTTGAATACACAGTCACGAGAGCAGAAGCAAGGTRAGTTCTGTTGGGAGGAGCTCCTGCTCCTGTAACCTTTCAGATGCAGCTATTAATTCATTTTCTGATACGTAGCTGATAATTTTCAGCTGCTGTGGGTAGAATAGCTCAGAGTAAAGAAATGTCAGGTTGTGGGTTAACGTCTGCATTTGAAAGGTGAGTCTGGAGAGGGTGTGAGAATTTAATCTCATTTAAGTAGCATTTCAGCTTCCTAGCCCATGTTTTTTGCAAGCAGTTGTTTATAGTGTTGCATCCATGTGAGAGCTTCTGTGCTGAAGATGGGATGGATATTCTGGGATTATGGAGAGTGGGAAGGGCTGATCACCCTGGCTGGTATGGCAGGGCACTTYAGTTTTGTGTGGAGCTCAACAGAACCTTGCTTTAATCCTCCTCTATTCATCCCCTGATTTGTTGCAGCSCCCTGGGATGGGGTTGGGGTCCCCTGTGTCACCTGTGCCTGTGTTGTCTTGCAGGAACAGACAGCGCAAGCTGGGTACGAAGCTCCAGTGACCAGGAACGTGGGGACCAGGGCACGTTTTAACGGAGACAGACAAGAGCAGAGACCTGGGAGCAGCAAGGAGCCTTTTAACAGACGGACCAAAGGAACAGGCAGGGACCATACCCAAAACCTGAAAGCCTTTGCTCTGCTTTAGCAGCTAAGCTGGATGCTCCCTGATGCATGTGGGACCGTGCAGGAGTAGAAACTCATTTTGAACACAGATGCACATGGTTGGATGTACCATCATGTCTACGTCAGGGGAGGGGGGAGAAAATGCCTGGTGTCGTGTTCGGGGGAGGGAAAACCAAAAATGAATCCTTTCTGTGACTTTTTTTTTCAGCATGAAATATACACACTATTTATTTATTTTTTTAAATGGAACTATTGTTTATGGGGTGGGTGAGGCGTTGATTGTGTGTTTTGTTTTTTTGCTTTTTTTTTTTTTTTCCTTTTTTTTCTTTTTTGGAAGAAGATGACAAAACTAATCTCAAGTTGGTCATGTTTAATTAGGGCTTTTAATTCTTACAAACTTCTTAGGAGGGAGGGGAAGCAGGATGGGGCAACCTAGACAGAAGGGAGAGGAAGACTTTCCTTTCTGCAATCAGTTTGGGAGATCAGAATCAATTCCAACTGTACTTTGTACAGACACAAAGGCAGACTATGAAGATCTGATTTTTAACACTAGTGACAGTTCTGCAGGGAASCCCGCACGGATACCAGTTAAGGGAAGTGTGTGTGTAAAACAAAATATACCGACTATTTTTTTTTCCACTGCTGCTCCTGTTGTGTAATTAGCAAGAGTGTCCTTCTCAGAATATCTTCTAGGTGGCAAGATTATCATACATATCTCACATTTATTCCATCTCTTCCTTTATACTTTTATTACCTCAGGGTTGCTGTGATCTGTACAGCTTTTGTTGTACTGAGTGTGCTGAGGGCACAGGGAAGCCTGTTGGTTATAAGAAGTGCTGTGCTCCAGTAAGAGYCAGCCCAAAGCCTTACAAAATTCAGTTGCTGGTCTCTCTTTTAAGCACTGGATTTTTTTTTTCCTGTTAAAGGTTAAGGGAGGGATTTTAAAGAATTAACACAGTGACAACCACAAATGAACAAGGTGAATGACTAATAAWTAGCTCAGCTGCTCTCTGAATTATTCCTTGAAGAGTCCTGATAGACTCCGTCCGTGAACTCCAGTAGGGGATTTGTCCTAGCAGAGGCTCCTGCCAGTTATCACAGTAGCTTGGTYGGGGTTCTGCAGCTGTAACCTTGAATGCTGAACTCCAACAAGCAAGTTTTGCTTTCCATCCTTCTTCCATTCCAATTCTCCGTCTGGCCAGTGGCGCTCTGGATGCTGTGTCTCTGTGGGAGTGTGCCTGCCATCTCTGTGTGCTGGTGATGCCTACRACCTCTGTGACCCATGAGTTGACCTGGCAAGGGCTATACTCAAAGTGCTTCAGGGCTGTGCATGGACACTTTCTGTATTTCTAGTATATAATGCAGCAGTTCAAGTGTAACTACACAGAAGTATTTATTCAAAGCACAATTGACTTGAACTTTCACAGATAAAGGACAGCTTCTGAACTGGCTCAAAGGTCATCGGTGTGCCTTCGATGCAGTCATGAGCAGAGGTAAAATGACTGTCACATCTCGGTCTTGCTGCCTGTTTTAATCAGACTCCTGCATTATAAAGCTGCTTGAAGTGAGGTTTTATTTTCTGTTCATCTTGGTTTGTTTTTTTTTTTTTAAAGTTTTCATCTGTGCCTGTTGCTATAGGAGTTTGTGTGTTTGTCTGAAGTGCGAGCTGCTGTTGGACACACAGAGTATTAACTGTAGAAAGTTATCCTGATGCAGGAGATCAGGAATGAAAGCTGTTTAAATTTCTGTGTTTAAATAGCTATAGGTAGTAAATTAACTGTTTTCAGTTGTTACAGCAAGTATATATAGATACAATTTTTTTAAAGAACTGTTTAGTACTTGCATAACATGAGCAATCTTATAGTGTCTGAAGGACCCAACCACTGGATCTGCTTAAAAGGTGCATCATAATAAAGCAGCCTTCACAAGGACATTTGATCTTAGACCAGCTGTGTTGGGATGAGACATCAGATAGGTCCTGTGACATGGTGGTACCATACATTTAAATTTGAAAACTGGTACTCTGATGACTTATGTCTTGCAAAACCATTCATTTTCTCTTTATATGTCTTGTAAGTGAACTTAAAAAACCAGAATAGAGATCATAAGTCTCTCCCTCATGGCCACTGACAGAGTGGATTGTTTCAGGAGTGGCTTAGCACTTCCCCAGCCTCTTGAGCTGTTATGACAGGCTGCTGGAAGAACTATATGGAAGCACCCATTGAGAACTAGAGCATAGGAAAGAGGGTTCATCTCCTTATGGAGAGCAGTGCAGTGTAAAAAGCTGTTTCACTTCATGTTGTCTTCAAGCTCAAGCTTCCTACAGTAATTCTTAGGAGTGAGGGAGAGGAAGAGCTCTTAYAAGACACTGTAATAAATTATCCTCTGTTCTCTGTGAGTTGTTTGTAATCTGCATCTTCTGCCTACTTTTGCTGTACCTTTTCAGAAATCTTTGCAATACTTGATAYACAGTAGAAATTCCTTAGTGATTCCATGGATTTTCTTAACTAAATGGTGCTGTGCAGGAAAAAGATTTGAGCTCTGCCTTATTACCTTATACTTGTATGAAGTCTCCTGCCACTAGTTTTCTGAAATGGAATATTTTCTTTGGAATATGTGGCTTTGCAAGCAGTTGCTTTCTCTTCCTCCCCTGTACTCAAGGGGGCTGGATGGAGACATGACAATAAAAGGAAGGTGACAGAATGATGTGGTTCACTGTTCTTGCTATCCCCGCACAAACATCTTCCCAATAAGGGCAGTTACGTAACTTCTGCAATGTTTAAGGAGATTTAAGCCTTTTTGTAGCATTTATCTGTTTATTGTGTCTCAGTTTATTCAACAAACRTTTCCAAACTTTGCATGACATGGATCCCATTACCCAACAGTATTTAACACAGSTAACCAGCAAAACATGCAACACGACCAGGCTGTGTTAAAAATTGCACTCATACCCCAAGAGTTATCAGAATACTTTCAGTCTATGAAYTTCTGAAATTTGTTCCAAATTTTTCTGGAGCTTTAGTTTCTTCTACTTAATGTGCCTTTAAGACAATGGACATYTCTTGATAAAACAATCAGAAACATCGAGGACAGTATTCAGTAAGTCAACACTGAAAAAATCTAGAAGATACGAACCAGAAGGACATCACATTTTAGAACTTGTACCATAAGAAAAGACTTTTTAAAGGAAAAACCTTGTAATGATTTTAGTGTCCTTTTCAARCACTTTAAAAATCAGCCTCATTCATTTGAATTTCAGCTCTGTGTGTCAGTGAGGATGCATTAAGTGGTTTATGAATCTTGTATCTCTTTCAGTGTGACAGTCTGCTCCTTGCAGCTGTACTYTGCAGAAGGTAGTGGGATATCCAGATTTAGATCCAGAATAGATCAATCCMATCTTCTGAGCTACAGTCTTCAGCAGCACATGCTTATGCTTAATCTTTAATAGGCACTTTCCTTTGAGAGCCTTCCCCGTTGAGACAGAAGTGGAAAAGGGCCAGTCTCAAATATTTCAGTGGCACTACTTGTGCTTGAAGGCATTGCAGACAYAGAAAAATAACTCATCCCCTGGCAACAGAGTGGGGGAGAATTACTTTGGCAGAAGGAATATTTTTCCATGTAAAAGGCTCCATAAACCAAGATGTTATTCCAGTAAGGTTTGTTCTTGTCTGTAGTATGTACACAATCACTTACAGTTTGATAATACTGAGTATCCTCTTGTAGTTTTCAGTCTAATTGATGCAGAGGAGTCACCAGAGCAGGGGTTTCTGCTTGCAGGTTTGTAGTGCTTCTGTTCATGTTTTTAGGCTGTTTCACTCCATTCAGGATTCTTCTAAAAGACCAACTAAATCCATGTAGATGATGTGAAAGTGGCAATCCATACAATCACTGGCTGTGCAGGTGAGTTTCAGATAAATGTTCCTCTTTTAAGGTTTGTTTAGGTATGATATAGAAGTTTTGAAATAACATCCTTTCAGGAAAAAATGCCAAAGCATTGGCTTGTCCTTTGAGAAGCAAATTAGAATGATTTTTTTCTTCTTTTAACAGTTTTAGTGCAAATTTCTTCATATATGTTCATCAAGGCACTTTGATCATGTCCCTTGCAATTATTTCCCTGTTAACAAAACAGGCCATCACACTCCTAGTGCTTCTTGTTTATGGTGRTGTCCCAGCAGACACAGCTTGAAGGGTGTGGAATTTAAATACAGAATTCCTACTACAGAAATAGCACTAGAATTCTTTATTACCATAGGGTTTTATTAAATAAAAGTGTAGTTGGGRCTTGGGTTCTGACAGATTGGCTGGAAGTAGTTCCTATGCTACCACTGTATGTTAATGTTTATATATAATCTTTTCCTGTCTCACGTTTGTCAACTGAACATGAAAACAGTATCGTGAGWTCATTCTCTCACAGAATAAAGCTGGCACAAACGAGTAATATTTCAATAAGAAATAACTCTCCAGAGTAGCAGAAAAGGTGCTGTGCTGTTACTGCAGGAATAGAGGCTGCCACAGTGCAGAAACACCTATAGGGTCTATATGTACCCATCTTTTTTCCTGTTTTTTCAAGATTTTCTGCCTTGTTAAAGTAGAGTGGTATGAAAGAAGGGTGATTCTGCAGCTCTTCTTGCATTGGCCTTTCACAGATTTTAACTTTGGGGGGCAGGAATAGAAATATGTTCTTGAGTTCCTGATCAGAAACATCCTTATTTGTCCACAGCTCAGGCATAACATTGTGCACAAAAAAGCTGTTTCTGAAAGCAAGGTATAAAACCACATTGGGTTAATGTGTGTGTCCTTAAGGACATCAGGCACGTGGCCTTCTGGTTAGTAAACAGTCAGTATCTTCTTCTTTTCCTCAGCTCTAAAGAAAGGTACAGTGGAGCAAGTGTCCTGTTAAATGCATAGGAAATCCCTTCTCATYTCTGCAGGTGTGAAGGTACATAAAGCCAAAGCTGGCAAAACTTACATKAGGAGACTTTTGTAGAAGCTTTATGGGGAAAAAGCTTTAGGCTGAGCTGGAAGATTAATGGCAGGACAATGGCAGGAAACAAAAAGTTCAGAGCATGAACAACAACAAAAATACCCTGAAACAACAAAAATCACCTTAGTTTGTAGCAAGTAATGTTCTGTTGTTAAGAGGGTCAGTGCAAGAGAAAGAAGATCCCAGCGTCCTGAACAAGGGGAAGGAAACATTCCTGTAAAGCCCCTACTGGTTGGAGTGCCTGGGATAAGTAGTGCAGTGCACTCTAACAGGATTGGCTCTTCTCTGGCATAACTTCCTTCTCCCCTCGCTGAAGTTCAGTGATGAAGTTTTGCTGGAGCAGCAGAAATACTTTCAGTCAGGTTTGGAAGACGTTCTTCAGAAGACACAACAGAAAAAGGACTTGGTCTTACAGCAGTTTGTCATATGATATATATTCCCTGCTTTTCCTGGATAAGAACTACCTTCCTCACCAAATGCATTTAGATACTGGTAAGGACTGTGCTTTCTGTATTCCCTTAAAATAATTTTCATTAAAATCATACTTGAGTCCTCTTTCAGGACAGGAAGGTGCACTTTGCATTGATGGGAGAGGACCAGTCAGTTTTACTTTGCCTTGAGACCGTGTTTCCTCTCACTACAGAGTCTGATATCTGTGGGTGACTACTGTGTAACATCTTGCTGAAAACAAATGGTAGATATCCTCTTAAGTTCCAGGGCAAGCTGTTCTCTGAATCGTTTTCTGAGGAACTGGGAGCTTCAGTGCATCAGGGATAGCCCCTTTAACTGGGGGGTTTGCCTCTTACAGTTTGGATTTGGGAGCAGCCTGGAGCAAGATCCTCATGTCTAGCAGTGCTTTCTCAAGATAATGTGCCATGCGGGCTGCGTTTGTGTCAGCACAGCTATTGAAGGCTGAAACTGCAAAGTTGATGTGTTCCTCCATAGGGTTGTAACAGACTCCGTAGCCATCTGGAACCACGGGACCAAAACACATCACACAATCTGTCTTGGCTGGGACCTGTGGAGACAATGTGATTAAAACCTTCTGACCAGTCAGAGAGAAATGAAACCATCAAAAGCAAACAGCTCTGTCAAGAGAGGAAACTCATCTCATTAAACTGCTCTGGAAGGGCCTTTGGTTAACCCACCTCCCACCACGCATGTGTTGGATCCTACCATTTAGCAGCAATGCATTTTCCTCTGCATTTGCAAAGGAGTGCTTCTCTTCAGTAGTAAGTCACAAGTAAAACTATTTAGTAAGARTAGCACATCACAGACACAAAGTCATTCTGGCTGCTGACTTCACTGATCTCACTTGGATTTAGACACCAAATTCTCTTGGTGATCCTGGCTYTGGTTATATTATTTTTTGACATGTCTGTGAGGGACTGTGGCAGCTGTAAGATCAGATCTGTAGCTTTATGGGATTGGCAGCAAGCTTAGACATTTCTGGCCCCAATGAAGATAAGTTTCTAACAGAAAGGAGCAAAAACCAAACATGGAGAAAGAAGGTATGAAAAGAACCAGAGWGAGCACTTCTGGCTCAGATGAGTCRTACCTGGCTGGTTGAGAGATTGAAGTGCATTGCAACAGCATAGGCTGTGTCCATGAAGATCTCAGGCATGCTCACCAGGTCCTCGATTGCCTGCAGCTTCAGCCCCAAGAGGTGCCGGTCTATTGCGTTGCCCCGTATGGCCTGGAGGGAAGGAAGGATAGAGAGATGAAAGAGCAAAAAGAAAAGAACACTTCTAAAAGGTCTCTAAATCTTTAAAGTTAGAAGGAAACTAGATCTTGCCTTTAGGAAGTGAAAGAGCAAAAAGAAAAGAACACTTCTAAAAGGTCTCTAAATCTTTAAAGTTAGAAGGAAACTAGATCTTGCCTTTAGGACCAATAGCCTTGTTTGTAAGGATTGTGAAATTAAACAYACCAGTGGAAACAGTTCCTGCCTATGGCCTCCCTCTGGTTCAAGGGCTCCTCATTCAACTTCAGCATTTATCAGCAACAGAGATGGTAAGAACTGAAGCTATTGWAATATTTGATTCTCTCCTTTAGATGAGTCACAAGGGACACTTAACCCACCAGCTAGATAGAGAGGATTTAGTCTATGGCCTTAGAGCACTGTCAGATCAGAATCAGACCTTTGCAACACTAAAAGCCATTCTGCCATGTCAGGACCAAAAGGTCTTGTCTTTCCCCAGAATTCTCATTTGCTGGGCAAACTCTCAAGTCTGGCTGCTCAGAGGACACTCACCATGTCTGTGTATTCCCTGTGGGCCTGCGTTGCTTTCCTCAGCAGGTCTGCTTTCTCCTGGTCCTGAGAACACATACACCTGTTTTAAGTTTTTCTGCAGAATGAACAAGCTCATTTTGGCTGTTCTMTAGGGTGAAGGGCACTTCTACCTTGTGTGCCTGTATGAAACTAATTTTTATATTTACTAGAYTTAATTTTTACATCATTTTGTTTGGCTGCATCACTTCATTCTGAATGGAGTTCATCCATCAGTAGCAGAACTTAGTTTAAGTAGCTAAACAGACTTAAAAGTGACTTTTTGGAGGGTTTAGAAACATCCATGTGTTGTTTCCCAGGCCTTCAATACATGTGCAGGAAAAGCCAAATCAAAGCCCTGATSTGTAAATATACTTCAGGCTATGGTTTAGCCCAATTCAGGGTGCACCCCTGCTTAGCTGAAACCAGCTGACACAGGGTTAGCCTAATAAGCAGTTTTCTCTTTTCTGGATTCCTCTTACTGCACTTCTTTGAGATCCTCACCGATTTGTCAGGGCTGTCCATGGATTGCACAAACTTGAGTGAGTCCACAGAGGTGGAGCGGATGGTGTCGGTGCGGCCCAGGCGGAACATCCTCAGCGATGCGCTCTCATACGTGGCACAGGCATGGCCRTACATTCTGGGACAGGGAGGAGAAAGCCACACAAGTGAGTCTGGGCCCAGGAGAAAWGCCTTGGGAGAGCTTTGTCTGTGCCACCTTTATCAAACTCATGTGTTTGAGTGTGTCAGTGAGGAGGTTGAAGAATGACCTCTGGGTAGTCTTACCTGTAGTATGCCAGCTGCAAGGCCAACTGGATAAAAGCATCAGGGCTTATCTTCTCTGACTTGGGAAAACCTTTCCCAAAGTGATGAAAGACCATGACTTTGATATCCAGATCGTCAACCATTCTGTAAGGAAAGAAAGAGGAACTGTTCCTTTGCTTCTTGCATTCTTGTAACACAGAGGAATAGATTTGCTTTCACAAGGCTCAGAGGGAACAGGTCATCTGGATGTGACCTATGCAGGGACAGAGAGCTCCAGCACACAYAGATCTCTTTGGACAGCACCACAGAGGTAAGAATTTTTGGCCACTGCTGAAAATCTTCACCAGGTTAGATGGTCATGTGTGTGGTTAAGCTCCAGTATTAGCTGGATCCACTAAAGCCTTGCTCTTTCTCAGCAAATGGGGTGGATCAGTMAGAACCAGCACCTCTGACCTTATTYCTGGCACTGCTTTTCAGCTCAGCTCAATGCTGTTGACCCCAGAAGTCACTGGGAATRCTCCCTGGCTGCAGTGGGGAAAGCCTTTAAACCACTGACATGGTCCAAAGGGGAACATGAATTATTCCCTCAGTCACCCACCCAYCTCTCCACTGCTTCATACTCACATGTTGAGGTTTTGCTTTGCCGTCTCTATGTCATTCTTGATTTCTGGGGTGATGTTAAACCGCAGCTTTTTGGGCATTGGCAGAGGAACCGTGGGCGATTTGCCCACCTCGGGTTTCTTCCTGCACAGAGAAATGGTTCTGTTTAACCAGACCTTTGGCACRAGGCTCAGCTAGGAATGCCAGAGCCTGGATAGAAATGCACAGGACATCTTCCCTAACAACTTGTGACRTTGGTCACAGCTTGACAAACTCATCACAGTGCAAATAAGGGATCTCCAGTCCTGAGGAAAAGCAGAGGCAGAACTCACGTGAACTCCACAATGTGGTCCAGAAGAGCAACGATGGGTGGGCCTTCAGAAGGAGCATGCTCATATACAAGACCACAGGAGCCATCTTCAGCAATGATGAACTGAGAGAGAAGCACGAGAGGAGAGTGTTGAAGACAGGCAGTATGTGAGGCAGGACATACGCAGAGAGACATCTGTGTCTTCCTGTCTGTATCAGATCCTGTCCCTGCACACTGAAAGGTCTCATTTAGCAGAATGGCAGTGGAAGCCTTTCAGCAGGTACAGAAGATCTGAGAGCACTGTTACAGTTCTGCAAAATTCCCTGGTTAAGGGTGTGCCTGATATCCTGCTGYGCTCAATGCCCTGGCCATACAGARAGGTTCAATGRTTCTGATTTACTGAGATGCACTCAGTGTACAGGAATAACATCACACACTGGCTTACCCTTACTTTTCAATCAGCTGGAACATCTAAACTTTATCCCATTGATGAAGAGTTCCAAATAGGAACAAAACAGCTGAAAAAACTATGAAGAGTATGAAAGCAGTGGAGAGGAAAGCAGGTATGAGAATAATTCTCTAAAGCACCATTGCTACAATCCACAAGCCAGGATATACTAACTAATGAAGGAAAAGCTCCAACAACAGCTGCTGTTGAAGGTTCTTGACAAGACTGAATGGAGAAGAGATCAGAGGAATGCTGTGGGATGGCAGTGCATGTTTCAAAAAACAAAACAAAATGCCATTGGGCAGCTTCTGGCAGAACCAGGAAAAGTGACAAGGCTGAGGGAGATCCAAGGAACAGACCTCCCATCATTTCGGCTGCCTCCGAGCAGAAGAGGCATTGTTCACCGCAGGCAGAAAATTGATTTATAAGGAACACAAAGACCTGMAGCACTGAATAAATGTGGGCAGAACCAGAAAAGAAACAAGTCCCTGAGGCAGCAACGAGTGCTTGTGACTGCAGGGGGAACCACAGGATCTCACACTGTCAGCCACCACTCCTTGTCTCCCTTGTTTTTCCTCTTAGCAAGAGCACCTTGCCTGCAAAAGGTTCCTGGGATTTTTTTTTTGAGTTTGGTAGTCTAGGGAGACATCTCCAGAGCCACATCTTCAGCACCTTTAAAGCATCAGTAGTTACCTGCAGAGTTTTGTCAAACCATCGGTTGCCGCTGTTCAGCTGGCTGCCGCCRCCGTGCAGCATCTGCGCAGCCACGCGGCTCTTGTAGATGTCCTCGGACACCCGGGGCATGGGGGCATCCAGGCAAACAGTGCAGATGCTCCTCTCAATGGCACGAACAGATTCCTTGTTGGTCTTATCTGGGAGAGAAATGAACTGTGAGTAAGAGAGGGAGTTGTGTCATTGGAAGGAGACTGAAGGATGAGTGAATTTGAAGGATACGAGTCAGTGTTGGGTTCCCACTGTACCTCTGAGGGGTTTGTACACAGCTACTAAAATTGCAGCCAGCTGAGTGGTAAACAGTTGTCAATGTTGCATTGACCCTCCTTTTTTCACATTTCTTACATCCTACCCATTTGCAAGGCAACAAACTCRAGGATTTCACTAAACTTCACACTTTGAATCTGTACCTTCCAACCCAAAAATTACAACACATTGCAATGATTGCTTCGAGGTGGAACGCTTGTGTTACCTGTCCTAAAAAAAGCTTACARAGGAAAGAAGTGAGCARAGCACAGTGGTGAGGCTGGTAGCTYAAGGATCTGCAGTATTTGTTAGCACTTGTGTGTTAGGGGCTCTACAGACCTTTCAGGAGGTTGTTGTAGGCTTTTGCCCAGCTGTTTCGGTGGTTGGTGGTGAGAATCCCAATGGGTTCTTTGTTTGTTTGGAGGGAGGTGCTCCAAATCTTCTCCAGCTGAATGAAGAGCTGCTCAGCAGTAAGGGGAGATCCATCAGCGTTGTAAACATCCAGCTCAAAGAACTGAAGGTGAGAAGAGTGGACAAGAACAGAGACAGAACTTGAGAGAAGATCGTTAAACTGTCCAGGCCCAGAAGCTGGGAACAGCTACTTTGAGAAGGTAAGACCTGGCCCAAGAATTCAGTTTGCAAGACCTTTGAAGGATGGTCAGAACTGAGAGACCTAAGTCCAGCTTTCCTTGCAGGGCATAAATACTGTCCTGGTTTTATGAAGCCATGGTAATGAGGGCCAAAAATACATGAGGAATTCCTGTTTCTGAGACTAATCTGTGGTGGGAGGGTTTGTTACCCAATTTCCACTTTCAGTTTCCAGATGCAGGCATGATCTCTGGGCTTTGAGAGACAGGAATTGGAGGGACAAGAAACAGAGGAAGACAGCATTTTTTTGCCTTTAGTCTGTTGCTCACACATAGCAATTCCCACGCAGGCCAAAGGGGATAAAGGGACCAGGAATGAATCCCCAGAGAGGCAAACCTTGTGGGCAGAGACTTTCTCTTATTCCCTTTCCTCTGCATCACAGCTAGYAAAAGGGACACCTGCATCTAAACAAACCTTGAAAACCTAGCAACTGCCATACCTGGAAATTGTGAACCACTGTGATGTGTCTGGACTGCTTTTTGCCTTTGGCATAGTTGACAATGGAGTCCCGCTTGGGCCCAGGAATGCGGCAGGATGAGAGGATCTGGTAGTACTGGTTCATGCAGAGGGGCTTCCCACCCATGTACTCTACTGGWAGGGTCTCACTGGAGACACAGCAAGGTAAGGAGGAAGGAGGAGAGAAAAGAGATCAGTGTGAGTAGATCTGTGCTCCCCACACAGGGCACAGCTGCAGCCCTGCAGCTGCTATCACTCCCTCTCTCCCTCCCTCCAGCAAAACCTAAAGGTGTTGGTGGGATAGAAAAAAGCTGTCCTTCCCCATTCTTACCAGCCTTTTTAGTACAGACTACGAAAAATGTCTGTTTGCTGGCCTTTCATTTGGGAAGGGAAAAAAAAAATCACTGTCCTTTCTGTGAGACCAGAGAATCAGATCTTTGGACCTGCTCCATGGTTGTAGTTCTGAGTGATGAGTGTCTGATGTGCTGCTGTGACTCATGAAATAGGCACTTCCAACCACCCTGAGCCTTGTCTCACTGTTGGTGTTGGTAAACATATTTCTGGACTTTAAACGAGACATGTTCAGCAGAGATTTGCTGGTGACCAAAAGAAAAAGGGTAAGAGAGGAACAAATTCCTCTAGAGCTCATCCCATCTAGCTGGGAGATGAGAAACACCAGGAACCTGAAATGAGAGACACAAATTCCTGCTGCCTGAGCTGTAGCTTGTCCTGTGAGGAAACAGAMGTGCAAAATTCCACAGGACTGCCAGTTGTGCTTGTTCCCTCCAAGCACGTTCACATGCCAATGAAAGCATTAAAGTAAACAAAGAACATAAAGACAGAAGAGTTAAGTTTGCTTTTTTCCATTGGAGGGGAATGTGGCAGYGAGCAGTGCTGGGGGTTACAATATCTCTTTTCAAATATGTGCTGTCCTCTCTGGCCTTTCTGTGTGGAAGGGAGATTTACAGACAGCGTCTCTGTGACAGYAAGGAAAGTGAGAACTGTCTGGAGGGTCAGTAACTCACTTGTCAATCATGGTCTTGAAATCCAGCATACCCTCGATCAGCTTGGCAGCAAACCTGGAAAAACACCAAATGTAACAAGCTGAGATCAAGCAGGGACCTTCTGGGACTGAGAGACTAGCTGAGGAGGATTAGCAGAGCTGTTCTCTRTTCCTTTTGGCCAAGCCCCCATTGTGCCCATTTCTGCTTTGCTGATACAGCCACTGTGGGCTGTGGTATGAGATTGCTGGASAGTCCTACCATGTGGCACTTTCTTTTTTTATGTATCTTACTATACACCCAAGGAACTCTGGACACTCTAGACAGTTTTCAAGAAGGCAGCATTTAGTCATGCATTAATGACCCTTTAACAGCAGCATTTGTTACAGAACTCCTATCTGAGTTCTGATTCTCAGCATTAAAACAGTACTAGGAAAAGGGGATTTCTGCTCTTCCCTGGCCAGGGGCCACCTTGGAGTATCAAGCCAAGATGCAGCTGTTCCTCCCTGCACWCAAGAGACCACTGCCAACTGAGTTCCTACCCGGTGAACATCCTGCTGCTAATGCAACTCTGAAGAACCTACCTCTGGCATCAAGGGCTTGCAAACAAAGGCAGATGTGTTGTGTGTGGACACTGAGGTTTTGTTTTACCAGGATCARTGTAAACACTGCCAATGCCAGCTCCCAGCAGGGCTGTTGACAAGCCACATCAAACTGCTTAGCTGGGAGTGACAGATTGGCCTTCTCTGACCTGGGAGCTCCCASCTGTCCATGGATGAAGGAGGCAGGAGGTCACTGGGACAGGAGGTTGTGGTTGGCTGAGTCAGGCTGTGCCAGCATTTGGAATTTGCAGGCAGTATCCTTTAGATGGGCTCAGCCTACCCATAAGAGCTGTTAAATGAGACATTCTGCAAAGTAGTTTTCAATGAAAATTTCTCATCCTTGGTGCAAAACCTGAGGGAAACATCAGTGAGAGAGCCTGTGTTCCTTTYCAGAGAGTGAACAGCCTTCACTGTTCAGGCATGAGGAGACAAGAGGTTGGTTGACTCATTTTCAGCCAGCAGTGTTGCCAGATTAGAGTAAAAAGCCACCACTTTCTAAATTTGCCTTTTGCTTTTGGAAATTTTAGTCTTAAGTTGCACTGTCAAACTTACTTGTGCAGCCACAAACTACCCACACTCAGATTTAGATTGTATTTTACACAGGACCCCACATTCTTATGCAGGTTCTCAATTCCACTGGTTGGGCACTGGCTGTTCTCCAGATTATTTGGAAAACTTCAGTGTAAACAGAGAGGTTTCAAAGACATTTGTGTACTCTTGCACTGTCCTAAGGCTTATCCTCTGCTCAGGTGTATCGAGGAGTGGGAGGAAGGATTTGTTCCCAGCCTCACTGATCCCCTGGCTGGTACTTTTGATCTGCAGTGCTGACTGGTAACTGTGGCAAAGGTAACTGTGTAAAGGTCAGTGCTAAAGTTTTGCAGGTGGATTCAACACAATCCTAGCAGTGGTTAAAAATTAAAGGGAGCCCAGSAGGAAGAGAGGGCATGGCAGAGTCCAGACTGCAAAGAAAAGCTCAGAGGGGAGAGGCTGGTGCTGAGAAGTTTCCCAACCTCAAATCACAAGTGAAATGACACAAGAGTGGACAGTCCCTGTCAGGCTCCCCCATCCCTAAAAACTAGCAAACTCAGAGGCATTTCTGGGTGATCTCCTTCACATGTCTGGGCTACTTTTTATGCCTCCTTTAACTGCACACACAGTCAGTGCCTCCAATACATCCCCACAATGTCTCCAGCCAGTGATGGGATCATTTTGCAGTGAAGATCTGTGCATGAGCACAGACCCAAATGTTTTTCAGTCCCTGTTTAGTTCAGTAATACCTGAACCACTGGATTCTTTGGTTTTTCCCCTAATTAAATATTTAGTCTGGTGAAACCAGGAGTTTCCTTACAGCCTGGCAGCCTTGCCCTTGCAGCACAGACAGATCAGACTTGGGAACCACACCATAATAACTCCCAATCTGCCTTAATACTCTCATCCCTGTTCAGCACAGAAAACTCATCCCACCTACAACCTAAGGCAAGGTAGAAAAGGAMTTTACCTGAGCTGACCTTGTCGATCCAGAAAATCCTGCTTAGGTAAAACCACACCTGGGCTGGAGTGGACCACAACTGGCAGGCGATATTCCAGGTAAGCTGTCTTCAGCCACCAGTCTGAGAGCTGGGATGGAAAAAGAAAACATTCAGGGAGCTGCTGCTGTCCAGCCCGAGTCTGGTTGATGGCTCTCAGCATCCTGCCCCCAGTTCTGTCCCACACTTTGAAAACAAACTGTTTGGGGTTTTGCTGTGCAAGTGGGAGGGGGGATTTGGGCAAGGCAGGGGGTGCTTTTGGTGTAGGGCTTGAGCAGAGGGTTTCTTTCAACTTCTCAGGGCAGCTGTGTGATACTGACAGGTTCAAACCTTCAGCATCCATCGGCAGGGCCAGTGACTCCCTGTTTTGCCATAATCTCTCTGCTGATTCAAGTCCTGGTGGGGAGCTTTCACAGCTTGGGAGTTCAGCAGCAAACTGGTCATGAAGGTGATGCCATTAAAACAGGTGCCAGTGGAGGCAGCCAGGACAGAGGAGAGGTGAATATCAGCCCTCCATGCTCCCTAACCAGAGCTGGGGCCAGAGCCCTGTGACCTACCCAATTCTCTGATTTCCTGGCTCTTCTCTCCAGGCCTTTCTGCAGCCTCTCCCCGACGCCTCCCGGCTTGCGGAACTCAGCCACCAGCTCCTGCGTGTGGCTCAGCTCCTCGGGGCTGATGATGGGCTGCAGGGCCAGCAGGTACCGGTCCAGTGTCTGCTGCAGTGGTGGCACGGGCAGGTGGGGCAGCGCTTCCTGGTGGAGCTGGAATCTGCCTGTGATCTTGTCTAGAGCCGTCGGCTTCAGCAGGCCACAGGGCCTGGCCTGCAAAGCACAGAGCAAATGTCGAGACAAAACTTTCCTCCCAGGTTGCAAAGAACTTGGATCTGCGAGTCTCCATCCCAGCCTCTCTGGGGGCACACAGGTGTCCCAGCCTGGGAGCAGAGCATGGCTGTGTGCTGGAGAGGGTRCAGGACATCCAGGAAAGCTGTGAAAGAGAAACTCCATCTCCCAAGATACCAATTCTTAGCTCCTCAGAGAAAATGCTGCTGGGATAATGACACATCTCCCACTCTCTGGACACCTTCCAGCTGAGAGTCTCGAGGTGATGTAGAAATTCAAACCCTTCCATCCCATGGTAAGTGGGAAGAAAGTTGTGAAACAAATAATCATCTTATGTACTATCAGAAACATTCATTATTTCTTACAACAGTATAAGGATAAAAAGTTAAGCAAAACCCTTGTGCCAAACCAAACTACCCTTTTGGCTYTGAGGAGGCAGAATTTAGCTAAGTTTGGGGCAGGATTAAAATGCCTCTTTTCTGCCTGTTCAGGAAATAGTGGGTGATGCCAACAGRCTCCTGGGATCCAACTGGGTCATGTGGAGCAGAAGTCTTAGAAAGCACCAACCACTTCCCTGGATAGAGAAATAAAATAGAGCAAACCCAAGCACTCACTAGGAAAGAAATAAACCAGAGCAAACACAAGTGCTCACCAAGAAAACAACTCACCAGTTTTCCCCAAAAAGAATAACAACATCCTTTTGGATAAACAGGGTTGGACATTGTTCCGCTTGAAGATGTTTCAAATACTCTCAAGATTTCCCGTTCCCTCTGCACCTCCCTCTCCAGTACTGAATCAGACACTCCTGCAGGACTCTGGACTTTGCATTGTCAGTGYACTGAGGATGCAAAACCACTGAGAACATTTCCTTTGACTTCCAAAGCAGTAAGAAAATAGCTGTCCCCACATCTCCTCCCAGCAGTTAAACATAGAGAAGAAAGAGCAAAAGGTGAYGAAGCCCCCACAGAAACTGCCCTGTGCTCTTTGTGGGATCTGGCAAGAGCTGTGCGATCAAAGTTTGGAGAAGGAATGAGCAAAATAACCGGAGGAGGAATTACTGAAGCATGAAAGAAGAGTGGGACTGGGAAGAAAAGAAGGGTATTGATCACAGCAGCGTGGGCATACTGTACCTTCTCTGCTTGCTCCTGCTTCCTATCCATGGCTGGTAGGACAGAAAAGACCGTAAASCTCTCTCTCGGCCTGCCTGGGTCTCCTCTTCCACCTGACAATGTGCTGCCCGTGCAGGGCGTCACTTTATTAGCCGAGTGCCACATGACTGCTCCGATCAGAGGGCTCAAGGGCTGGCACAGCCCCGGCAGGGGACAGGAATTATCAACCTTTACCAACCATTGGGTTGCGCCAACTGCCCTGAGGGTGCCTCWCTGGGCAGCCCTGACTGTCAGTGGCACTGACCGATGGTGCTGATCAATACCCGGGCAGAGCCTCTCTCTGATCAACAGCTCTGGGCTCCAGGCAGGGCAAAGTGAAGGTGCTGTGGATGCTGCTGTTCCCTCAGCCTTGCCTGGACCACGGAACTACTTGTGGCTGTTGGGAGAGACCCCAGTTTATGTCCTGGAGGTGGCACTGCRGCAGTATCTTAACTGCCCTGGCTCCCCTTGCATGTGGTCATTATTGCAGGCTGAGACTTTGGGGAGCTCTGGGTTTCAACTCTTAAAAAAACCAGCAAACACAACCCAAAAGTATCTCTGTAGCAGGGCAACGAGAGTGCCATGCAGTCACAARGAATATCAGCCCCTCCTTCGTGTCTGTCTAATGAATTGAGGGGCATGCAACCACAGACTGCGTAACTCAAATAGATGATTCCAAACAAACAGCTGTAGATTTTCCATGGTGCAACAACGAAAATCCCAAAACAAACTCATGGAAGCCACTGTATGTCAAAATGTGGAATGGATTTGTATCTTCCCTCTTTTCTGACCCCTGCTTGTTTGGTTTGGGGTTCAACTCAAGGAGAGTTTGGTGGGACGAGGAGCAGCGATCAGAGCTGAGGAGGCAGCTGGCAGCAGAGGGAACATCCCACCCCTCCCCACAATCAGCAGGAAAACGAACACCAGTGGAGCAGGGTGTGCAGAMAAGGCCAGCCTTGCTCCCTGGGCTGGCACTGCTTCCAAGCCACGTTCCAACACAGCAAAGGACCTTTTCCAGAGCGTGCAAAGCTGGGGGGRAAAGGAAATCCACCTGCTGGGGGCAGGAGGAATTTCATAGCTGATTCTTAGCATAGCCACAGCATTGAGTGTCAGGATGTCAGAGGTATTTTATATTTAAATCAGAAGCTGGAGTGCCCCTTAAGCCCAGAGACAACTGGCCCTGCCTGGTCCCTCAGTAACTCTGGGAGTGGATCTGTGCATTAGCTGCTGTCCTGCTGCTGTAGCTGCTGTCCTGCTGCTCTCCCTCCTCCTCTCATGACCTGTGAGAGACTGCAGTGAGCAGCTCCCAAGTCTGGCAGGGGTCTGACAGCTCTGCTGTGTGGCAGGACAGGCACGTCGGGAGCCACCGATGCCATCTGTCTGGGCTTCCCTGCCCCTCCCTGTCCAGCCCCAACTGGACATCTCAGTACAAGAAAGACAAGGCACTGCTGCAGAGGGTCCAGCAAAGGCCATAAAGATAATTATGGGACTTCAGCATCTCTTGTATGAAGAGAGCGAGAGACTGTGGGAGTTGGGGCTGTTTAATCTGAAGAAGAGGAGGCTGAGAGGGAATCTTATTAATGCATAAAAATATCACTAAGGTGGGTGGCAAGAGGGTGGTGCCAGACTCTCTTCAGTGGTGCCCAGTGACAGGAGGGGGTGCAATGGCCATAAACTAAAACACAAGAAGTCTCCCCTCAACATGAGAAATAACTTTTTYACATKGAGGATGGCAGAGCACTGGCACAGGTGCCCAGGRAGGGYGGGCAGTCTCCCTCTCTGGAGACATTCCAAACCCACCTGGGCACGTTCCTGTGTCACCTGCTCCAGGTGACCCTTGGCAGGGGGATTGGGCTGGGTGATCTGCAGAGGTCCCTTAGAACTCTAACAATTCTGGGTTTCTGTCATTTCCATCCCGGACAGCTCTACCGTGCACGCTGCCGCCAGGCACGGGCAGAAACCAGCGGGCCTGGGGGGACTGACCTCGGCAGCTTCCCTGTCCCACTGCCGGTGTCGGAACGTGGGACGGAGCCCATCCGAACCCACCCACCCGCACGGCCCTGAGCCACGCCTGTGCTCCGGGCTGGGGCCGGAGCCGACAGCGGCACCACCGGCAGCCCCCGCCTGCCCTGCCCCGGCTGAAGGCAACGCACGGAGCCCGGCCCGCCCGCCCAGCGCACTGCCCGACGCAGGGACCCTCGCCCCGTCCGGCGGACACCTCGCGCCCCGCCCCTCCCGGTGTCGCCCTTACCGCAGCCCTGGCCACCAAGGCGAGCATGGCCCCGCGCCCCGGGCCCCCGGCCCGCCGCAAGGGCACCCTGGCCGCACCGAGCACCGCCGCTCCACCGCCCCGGGGCGGGGCYGCCCCGCCGCCATCTTGGARCGGGGCGAATCCCGCGCTGCCATCTTTGAGAAGGGCAGAGAGATGCGATGCGCGGAGGGAGCGCAGCGGCCGGTGTGGGAGCCGGGTTGCGGCCCCTCTCTCCGCTGCCTTCTCCCGGCTGTGGTGAGGAGGGTCCTCCCGCTCGCCCCTCCGCGCCTCTGCTCCCTTCCGAGCACAGCTGTCCGCCCCTCTGTGGGCAGGGAGGGCCGCGCCCTGCACAAACATGGCGGCCTGGGCAAGACGGTGGCCGGCAGGGGCCGCTCCGCGGTCCGACAGCGCCAGGAACGATCGGGCCGGGCGGCGTGCCCTGCTCAAAGATGGCCGCCGGCGGCTTCGGCGTGCGCGGAGGTGGGAGGTGAGGGGCGGCCGGGCCGGGCTGCGGGAAGATGGCAGAGAGCGAGCGGCGGGCAGGTGAGGGGCGGCCGAGGGGGTCCGGGAACCATCGGGCTGTGGGCTGCGCTCGGAGCCCCTCAGGGGCGTGTTCGGGGCCGGGGAGCGCTGGCACAGGGCCCCAAGCCCCGGGGGCGCTGGGCCGAGGGCACCGGGCCCGGGTTTGCGGGGGGCGGTGGCAGCAGCGCCCGGCCCGGGAGGGGAAGAGAGGAGRAGGATTTGCTGAGCGTGTGAAGGACTTGGGGCCCCCGAGTCTCGGCACCACCCCAGGGCGAGGTGGGTGGTCGGGACTGAGCCTCTGGGTCTGGGGTCCTTGTGAACCCAACCCGGTTTTGCGACCGGTTCCATGTGAGCGGGGTGGCCTTTGGCGTTGTAGAAGGTCGGGGCTTGACTCCCCCTCCCCCCATCGTGACACAAGCTTGAAAGTGTCTCCTCTGTCCAAGTTCTTGTCGTAAAACTGACCCTCTGCGCTCCGTCTCCATCACACCAGTAGGTTTGGACTCCTGTGTATTCATCCCAGAATTCTGTAACCCCTGCAGCCCTCRCTGTTTCCTTCCTTGAATATTCCTGGTCTCCTCACCGAGAGGAACTACACTAAGTATGGAGTCAAATGCAGTGATGGCTGAGAAACAAACGCAGAGATGAAAGGAGTTCTGTTAAGGGCAAGCACCCAGATCAGGACAGTGCCCTGYGCTTTCTGTGTCACCCATACTTACRGACATATGAGTGTTTGCCTTTTCACAACACTCCTCGGGAGTTTTTAATTGTTTTCATTTTGTAAATTCTTAAAAGCAGGGCTCCATTGTTATGGTGCCAGCTGTTGTGAGTTGTGCTCTGAATTTTCAGGAGAGAGGAGCACGTGTCTTTCATTTAAATTCATCACATGTTGTTCCTCTCATCCTCGTACCTGGAAGTTTTGCTGTAACTTCTGCAGGAATGAACTGAACACTGCAACACCTAGGGCAGGAACTGAGGCTGAATTTGTTCTGTGCATGGCAAATGAGAAGAGCAGAGAAGTCAAATGACTGTCAAAGGTTGTGTGACAAATCTATAGCAGACTCTGCGTGGTTCCTGGGACTTTGGATTCCTTTTAATCTGATCTGCCTGCTAGAGAGCACTGTRGGAAAGGCTGCTGATGCTTCTGGGTGGTGTTTTCTGTGTAAATGCAGCTGATAATGTTTTAAGGAGTTGGAATTTGGTGGTGTTTGTTAGGGAGAGAGTGCCTGARCTGGCTGAGCTGTGGAGAGCAGTTGTTGGAGTGTGTCAGGACAGCTGGTGCTGGATAAGTGCCTGCAGATTTTCTGGGATTAAAAAGATGAACTGTGTGACTCTGACAGAATTAAWAAATTGACATTAGTGCCCAGGTTTCTTGACAGTGCTCTCTGCACTGCTTCTTGCTATTAAAAGTTGCACTTACATCAATGTAGTACAAATTACTTTAAACCTCCTGGAGCTTTTCTGGTTCTCCAGGTTGGGCCCTGGGTTCAGATGCTGGGGAAAAGAGCCTCTCTAATACATTAGTAAGTCACATTTACATTAAATATCGTATCCTGAGCTTTGAGAGAGCTTTGAAATTAAACATTCTTCACAACTTCCACCTGACCGAGGCTGTGTCCCATCATCCCCAAAGTCCTGGTGCTGCCTGGACCAGGGCTGTGGCTCTGGGCTGCATTTATTGYGCTGYTCCAGCTTGTCCATGYAGGAATTACCCTTTCTAGRGGAATGAAGGTCAGGCTTAACAMCTAAAAAYGAGGCACAGTTAGTTTGTAGGAGAGCTYAGTGCTTCAGCATGACCTGAGGCTTGGCTGCACCAGACAGAAATAATTAAACTGCCTGGATGTTTCGTTTGTTATCTCCTGCACCAGTCTCTCTGTCTGAATGGGAAATGCATCTTTAACGATGAAAACTGACTAAGTGCTTCTTTCTGAAGGCTTTCAGTGTCCTTAGGAGGATGTTATCCATGGCTTGGGATGATGTTGGTGAGGTGGACTTGATGAGATTACAKCCCAGTTGGGATGGATTTGTGTGCTYTGTATSTTCTGAGAAATAAATGKTCATTTCTAAGAAMGAAAAATWGAGGATTTCTCCTTCTCCAGCACCYGTGTTTTACCTCTRTTTTSCATCTSCCAGGCACCTCTGAGGAGGTGGCTCCTCCTGTCCAGCAATGCTTCATGGTCCCGAAGAAGGAGATAAATGTGGTTTCTGACATGGCCAAGTGGAAGCGCTCTCAGGTATGACTCTGGGGACAGGGAAGGCTGGAGAAGTGCTGCTGATCTTTTGGTGGCAGCCAGGTCTGGTCTGGGAACAGCCAGGAAGTAAAGCAGGTTTGGGCAAAGAATGGGCAATAATCGAATTTGTGTTTTAAAGCAGAAGAGTTGGTGCTTGTTTGTAGGAAAATTACCTGGCAGTGAGGTGTGGAGTCTGGCAGCCAAATGCTCTATGGGAGCGCCCAGAGGCTGAGGGAGACCAGAGGTGCTTAGAAATGATTACTGCTTCCTCTCAATAAACGGGGAGAGAGCAGTAATCTGTTTCATCCTACCTGGCCTGTACTTTATAATCAAGCTGGATTTACCCAGCCCTGTTTGAGSTCACCTTGAATACAGTTCTGCTGCCTGGCCCTGGTAGCACCAGCCTGGGTTGGTTCCTTCCCATCGTGCTGTTCTGGAAAGGACTCCAGAGCTGAGCCCTTCAATTTCTTGGATAATTTTTGTTTACAGCCTGTGTGCAGCTGGTGGAACAGGCAGGTTCTCCCTTCTCTGCMTTTGAGGGATTGGGGTGTTGGCCCAGACTTGTCCCATCTCTTAAGAAAAAATTCTTGCTTGATTGATAKGTCTTGAGTGAAGCTGAGGTTGTGGCCAGGTGTCAAGCAAACCTCTGGGTGCAGCTTCCARTTTAATTCTCCTGGGTTTAAGTACTTGCTCTTGGTCAGGATTTTGGTGCAGGGAGGGCAGTGTKCTGCTGTGGAACTGCACTGGAGATGATGCTTCCAAAGCAGCAAATTTAAAGAGAGGAGGAGCGAGGAGCTTGGGCTCTGTCCCACTTCCCTATCATGTGTGACCACAGGGATGAGTCCAAGGGGGAARGGGGAGATAACAGCACAAGTCTGGGAGGAGCAGTGCAGAGCAGGATGCTTGGGCACAGCGGAGACGCTGCAGAACTGAGGAGTTTGAATTTGACCTGATAGAAGCTTAGGGAATGATTTTGGGTCAGTGTGAACATATTTAGGATTTTCCTTTCTGYGATTTTCACAGCAATGCAATTGCCACCTGCCTTTGGCTGCTGGGCTGCCAAAAAGAGCAGTAACCTCCCAGCAAGCCCTGCACTCTTGGGTGTCTCCAAGGAAGCAGTGTTATATGTTGGGAAGGGGGTGCTTTTGTGCTTCTGTGCTGTGTTTTGTGCTCAGACAGACCTGGGCTCTCASTAAAGCTCTGTGCTTTCGGTGTGTTCGCAGGCGTACGCAGACTACATGGGCTTCATCCTCACTCTGAATGAAGGTGTCAGGGGCAAGAAGCTGACCTGTGAATACAAAGTTTCAGAGGTAGGAGAAGAGTTTGGATCCTCTTGTTACTCCTTTCCTGCCTTTTTTCACCTTTTTGGGGTTTTTTGGCTCTACAGTGAGTATTTCATGGGTGAGGAATGAATTGGAAGCTTATCTGGGAGCCAAGGGAGAATGAATATGGTTGGGGATGCAGATATCAGGGTGCCATYCTCCCCTCAGGATGCAGATGTGCTTGTTGGATGGGAAATTGWGCAAGTGGGCAGAAGCTGGTGGGGAAAAGGAGAATGCAGAAAGGACACATTTTGACCCTGTTTTCACAGTCTGGCTTTAACCAGTGATGCTTTGAAGATGTGGTATTTCCTCCTGGTTGCAGGCAAAAGGCTGCAATGTCTGTATCATTCCTGTACCCCCACTGCTTTCCTGYAGGAAAATCAGTGCACAAACCACCTCTCTCCCTGCCCCTCCTTGTTGCTCAGACTGTGTTAGCAGCACCCATCTCCTCAGYCCAGGCTGGAGCTGAGCTGTGCAAGCTCTGGTCTGACAATTGTGACCTCAAGGCATGTCACTGGCTGCACCTGCCTTGCCCAGGGTTGTGCTAAAGGGACTGCAGAGCTCACAGGGCTGCTGGGCTGGGCTGGGAGGTTTAACCTGTGGGGCAGGATCACCYCTTCCAAGGTGTTAAGCAGAAAGCACCTGTTTTTCCCCTTGCATGAGTGCACTGTCATTTGTCCCTGACTGCTGCCATAGCCAATTCTAGTGCTTGTTCACCTTCTCAGGGCACAGTGAGATCATTTGGAACCAGTGGGAAAGGGCAGGCGCACCCTTTTTGGTGTCACTGCTGCCCTGGGGGCTCTCTGGRTGCTGCCAATCCACAGAGCACACACTGGCTACTAGCTTTTCTTTCTTTTTGCACACTGAATCCCCCTCTCCTGCTTTGCACTGCAATGAGGAGATTCTTGGGTACATTTTTACTGTGCAAGAAAGTGAGAGTGGTGTATAAAGATCAAGGCAAAATGGGCAGCAGACTGGGCCCTGTGTGTTTATAGCTTCATTCTGGTGTGGGAAGGCAGCTGATGATGGTGTTTAATCCAGTCTTCCTGTTTGAAGTACTGTGTTGAGTCCAGCCTTCCCTTCTAGGAGCCAGTGTGTGAATGAGCAACTCCCTTGTAGTTCATGGAGGGGATCGGGGATAATGAGTCTCTCCTTTAGCAGGCTTTGTGCCCCCCTTTGTTCCTTCAATTCAGTAGAAACTGCTGTCGAATGCTGCTTTTGCTTTCAGCCGTTTGCATTTCACCTTTGAGTTTTGTCTTTGTCATGATCTYGCTTGTTCCCAACCATTCACAGAGCACTTCTAGGGAAACAAAGYATTAAAAATGAACAAAACAAAGAGGGGGGAAAAACCCAGCCCTCTTCGACAAGCCCTTTGAGCTGTCAGGGAAAGCTGTACCAGGGCTGTGTCTGCAGAAGAGCTYTCTTGGAATGAATGTTTTCCATCCATGGTCCCAGTCCAAGTGACAAACAAGAGACAAAATCCCAACTGCTTGGGAAGTGGCAGGGAACAAATCTCATTCCSCACACTGAGGAGAGCAGAAGCCTGTGACTTGAGGCACAGGTGGAGCATCCCCAGGGTTGTCTTGTTGATGAGGTTGCTTGTTCACACAGGCTCCTTTGTAGATCAAACTGCTTATCTGTGCTTTTAAAGGCTTACCCCCTCGTGGCCTCTTCTTGCATCTCTGCTCGGCTTTCTTCTCTTTTGCTGTACCTGCTGCTGATGTGCTTTTGTGCCATCCCATCTTCCTCCCTGATCAAATGCCAGGGACACCTTTCTTTGGCAAATGACCTCCTGGAATCCTTTCTGCTGAATGCGTATCCTCTCTGTGACTTACTTATTGCTTTGCCATGGAGTAAAAAATGGAAGTGTGGTCTGCTCTGCTGTGAAAGAGATATTTTAGTGGTTTCTCAGAGAGTGTGTGTTGATACCAATCTTTCTGCTGGAGCAGGAGCTGGATCCTGTAGGGGCCAAGCCCCCTTGGAGATTTGCTGAGCTTGCTGTGCTCCTACTGACACATTGCATGGAGCTGTCCAGGGTTTGCTGGAGGCATCTGACAGGCGCTGATAGCAGACTTTGGCACAGACACGGTGTCTGGCACAAGGTTGTGTGAGTGATAGGCTGTGACCTGCCTTCCCCTCCTGGAGGGAGTGCTTTCCACGTGGGGATCCATCAGCAACTGCCTGGAGTTGCAGTGACTTGGATCAGAGAAGCAGTGCAGCGAGGAGGAGGAGGTTAATTTTGGCCGTGTAAGGAACAGACCTTCCCTTCAAACAGCCCAATGCACTGGGGGAAAGTGGTCTGTCTTGTGGCTTGCTCTGCTTCCAGGAAGGAAGTGGGGGAAACAGCAAATGCTCTGATTTTAGCAGCTCCCCATTCTGACAGGGCCTGAGGAGCCCAGAGGGGGAGAATTGGCCCCCATGGGCAGCTTTGGCTGCCGTGATGCCTCCTCAGCACCTCTGTCTGCCTGGCCCCTGCTCTTGAGAGCTGCTGACAGGTCTGTGCTCTGTAGGAAGCTTTGTGGTTTGCCTTTGGGACCGGTGGCAGACTCAGGGTCAAGGAGATGCAAAATCAGCACAACAAGAAGAGCAAGGAGAGCAGGGGGGAGACTGCCCTTGCTTTGATCACTGGAAAGGTAAAGCAAAAATAGAGCTTAAAAACCCAGCCAGGCAAAACAGGCTGCAGTGGTGCTGATGGCTGTGTTCCCATAAGCTCCTTTCTCCCCCACAGGGGTCAGCTCTGGATGTACACGCTTCCTCTGCTGGACAATGGGAAGCTGCTTCTTTTAGTTACCCCCTTTTCAAAGGACCTTGAGCCCAAAATGAGCYGCATCTCTTTAATTATTTATTGGTGTGGCTGAGCCGGCAGCTGGGTCCTGCTCTCTTGTGTTCAGTGGGGCTGGGCTTTTAATCCCTTTAAAGCCAGCGAGTGGGGAAGGGGAGGTTGGACTCTCTGCTCCCCAGGGAAGGAGCTGGTCCGTGCCAGCCATTTATCCCAGCAGCACCGAGTGCTTGTGGAGAGGGTTTGAAATACGGTGGCTGCTCGTAATGAGCTGCTGGTGCCGGCGGATAAATCACCAGCACAATTTAATTATTTAATGCAACCCAGTGCTGGGGATGCTGTTGCTTAATTGGAGGGGAATGCAATAGCCAGGAAGGTGTAGGGCTGAGTCTAAACCTGGCCCAGTGCAATGGGGATGTGTTTGATTCCTGCAATGTTTTGGGAGCAGGGAGCTGGAGCRGAGGTGGCTGTGCTGCTTCAGTCCACACATATCTTGGGCATTGGCCTGTCAGTGCAYCCAGGGCCACCCAGAGCTTTAGGCYCTCTAGTCCCTTGGCTTTTTTGTGTTCTTGGTGTGCTCAGGTGTTGTCTCAGTCTCATGTGGTTCAGTGGCCAAATGTTGAGGTCTTGGGGTGGGTGGATCCCTCTCCTGCCTCTTCCTGCTTCCCAGTGGCTGATCCCGTGATGTCCTTGGGGTGGCACCTCAGGAGTCACTATCTGTGGGAGGCTGTGTCTGCCATGAGACCCTTTGTCCTGGCAGGGGACCCGCAGCTGGTTCATCGGCAGCACAGCTCTGCCATGCCCGGCTCTGCCCACCCCCTCTGAGTGGCACTTCAAGGGCTGCAAACTTGCTGGGCTCTGCTGTTTCCTCATCCTCCCGACAGCAGCGTGAAGAATTGAACCACAGCCCAGGAGACCAGCCGGCTTCACACGGTCGATGCCTCCAGCAAAGTCAAACCAGCCGCCGCTTCTGCTGTCCTCTTTGTCCCCTTGAAGGAGGAATCCCCTCTTGAGACAGAGGAGCCTACATTGCCCGGGGCCTGGCCAGCTGCTGCGGCGGCTGACGGCTCTCCAGCTGCTTGGAGTCAGGCAAGGAGAATCCCAGAGCCTCTGGCAGGCTTGACCAGTTGTCAGCAGAGCTTGTAACTGTCTAGAGCTGCTAAAAGTGCTGCCTGTGGTGTTGTCTCTTGGTATGGGGGGTGTAGCTGTTCCCCAGCCATTTGGTCCAGGCAGGGAGAGGATGTGCATTGGCCAGCCCTGGTCTGACAGCACAACTGGAGCCATTGGTCACCTGCTGCACTTCTTTTCTCTTCCTTCATGGCCACTCTCATACCTCCTGTATGGCTTCCTTACTTCATCACTGGGTGGGGGAAACATGGCTGTGGTCTTGCTGTTCTTGCTGTCTTCCCATTAGCTTTGTGTTTGAATGGAGACATTTCTCTGAGAGCTTCTCATTCCTGCTCTAATGAGAGCACTGGTGGGCAAATCAAGCTGCCTCTTCCCCTGGAAGGTCGTGTTTTGCCACGTGCAGTGGGTGTCCCTGGGCTGGAGCTGCCTGCTGGTCTGGCTGGTAGGAGTTTGAAGCAACAGGAATCGTGCTGAGAAGGTTGGCTTGCTGTACAATTGTGTTGTGGTTTAACAGCATCAACTGCTAATCCTGGCTCCTAAGAGACACTTCAGGACAATTATTACAGCCTTGAGAAGGCCTTTAAATCATATCATCAGCCACTGGTGAGGTTACATGGCACTGTATACGTGCTGTACTTTATTCTGTGGGAAATGCAGGACCCTCAAGATGTAGAGCATGATTTGTGTGTTGGAGTTCCCTGAATTTGTGTAGCACTTCCCTGCCTCTCAGTCCTGTGAGGACTGTTCTACAGCTGGGAGCTTGCTGTAGCTCTTCTGCAAGGTATTTTGGAGCACAGAGCTGTTACAGCTCATGAAAGACTGTGTGGGCGACTGGGGAGTCTGCCTCAGGCTGGGCTTTGTACTGGACTGATCTCCTGCAGGGAAGAATGGTTTTTCTGTCCCCTCTACATTTTGAGGAGGATTGGCACAGCCCATTTCCACCTGCCTCTCTTGGGAAGAATCGTGTGGGCTTTAGTGACTCCCACCAAGGGGAGAGATGCTGAAGGCTGAGGGACTGTTCTATTTTATGTCTCTGTGACCCCTCACCTTCTTGCTCTCTGTAGGCTATTGAAAAGCTGGTGGCTCTGCTGAACACCCTCGACAGATGGATCGATGAAACCCCGCCAGTGGATCAACCTTCTCGCTTTGGGAACAAAGCCTTCAGGACCTGGTACGCCAAGCTAGACCAGGTGAGCATGTCTGTGCTGTGTAGTGTTACCTGCAGCTCCCACAGAAGGGCAGTGTGCCCAGCAGGGTGGGAGAATRGCTCTGTCACTGTGTGGCAGCCAAGCAGCTCACAGAGGAGTTGCTCAGATAAGCCTTGAAGGATCCACCTCTTGATACGCATCACTTACCCCTGACCTGGTACTGTTTTTTCCTCTTGTGAGAGCATATGGCCCATGTAAATGCTCTTGGCTGGGTTTCTGAGTTCTGGATGAGCCATGAGGGCTGTCCAAGCCCAAGGAATTCCTTTGCTTTGTGACTGCCCACTGCATCACAAAATCAGAGAAAGGTTGGGGAAAACTGCTTGCATTTCTTCAGCTTGGACCATTTGTCCTGCATTGAGCTCTGGAGGGGCACAGCCCCAGTTGCAGTAGCAGTGGCCTTGCTGCTCTTCTGGTGCTCTAGTGGTGCTTTTGTCCTGGAGATGGCTCAGTGAGTAACTGGGTCAATGTACTTGGGTGGTGAAGCTTTTCTGTCCTGCAGGATGTCTGTGGCCTGKATAGGTGTCAGGACAAGCTCTCCCTGACTTGTTCCATCTGTGGAGATGACTTCTTTAACAGAAGAATTTGCTCATCTCTTGTGCTGCCTCCAGGCATTGCAGGAGAGCACCATTTCAGTCCCGTGCTGTGACAGTGCCTGAACAGGGGATGTCTTATCCCTGGTGACTGTGACAGGTCTGTACTCACTCAGGGAARTCTTTTGTGTCTTTCAGGAAGCAGAGAGGTTGGTGTCAACAGTGATTCCCAAGCATYTGGCTGATGCTGCCCCAGAAGTGGCTGTGTACCTGAAGGAATCCGTGGGGAACTCYACCCGCATTGACTATGGCACAGGTACCTGGGCTTGCACACTGGTCAGGGCTGGGTTTGTTGGGAAGGGACTCTTTGGAGCTGGGTGCTGCATTTATTTAAATATGTCATTGGCACTATTGTTAGTGCCAGCTTGAAGCAAACACCTTTCTTCTAGGGCCCCTCACCTCTCTGCCCTGTGTGGGCTGTGGCTGAGAGCAGTGGCTGGGAGCTGTGATACCATTTCACATTTCATCCAAGGAAATGGGAATGTTCTGGGATGAGCTGTAGGACCTGCTTCACTGCATGCAGCAGTCCTGCAACAGGCAGTTTGGAGGGATAAAATATACTGCCTTGAATTGGAGCTGGAGTGAGAACCAAGTTCTTGTTCAGTGGGAGGGGGAGGTGTCCCTAGAGAGAATCACAGAGGTCTGGTGGTCCTTAGAAGGGACATCACTGCTTACAGAGGGACTTTGAAATCTGAAGTACCTGAGGAGATACTGAATTGCAGATTGAAGTAACCACACAGGCTTCAGTGAGACCTAAATACAGAATTTCCTGCATGCTCTGCTCCTCTCTGGAGGACAGGTGTGTTCTCACCAAAAGGCAGGAGAGCAGGATGTTGTGAGTGCAAGGAAACACAACTTTGGACTTGGGCAGGAAGAGGAAGAGGAGGCTGTRGGTGAAGGCTGAAGGGTTGGAGGCTGTGCAGTGCTGGCTGCGGCTCACTGGCACCAGGGGGAGATGTTGTCCTTGGAAAGGGACTCGCTGGATGGGGTTTGGTCAGCTCAGAGAAGGAAATTCAACCTCTCCTCCCATCCCGTGTATCCCAAACCAGGGGCCCATGTCTCAGCTCACAGTGTCCAGACTATGGGTGCATTTTGTTCCTTCACTGGCAGCTCACCTGTCTATAGTGTGGAGCTGCTGATCTTGTACTCTCCCTTCTTCTGTGGTCCTTACCACTAAAAGACATTTCTGGGTTTGCTGGTTGTTTAGTCTCCTTGCTGTTAGCGGGAGGCCAAGCTGCAGAGGCTYAGCCTGAGATCCCAGTACCTTCTGGGACAGACTGTTCCTGGCAGAGTCATGGAATCTGCATCCTTCTGACACAGAGATATTTTTGAAGCAGGAGGAAATCTGTTTGCTTGCAGATGTGAGATTCTCTTGCATCCCCCAAGCAGATGATTCTGCAGTGCTTCACTTCTCYGGCTGTGCCAAGCTCCTGGGAAAGCCCATGCCTTGCTCCCAGCATGCCCAGTTGGAGCTGTTTTCCTTAAGAACTTCTTCTTTTCTCTAAGTTAATAATCACCTTATGAATGTCTAGAAGGTATAATTTGGGTGGGTGCTGCAGGGRGATGAAATACTGCCAGCTCATGGCATTAACAGTGACAACAGGGTTGAGAGGGGACTGTGACTGCTGTGATTTCTGAAGAGCTGTTGTGGTGCCTACAGAAAGGTTGTCCTGGGGGCCAGAGACACCTGTGTCATGTCTCTTCACGTCTTTTAACTCCAGGGCACGAAGCTGCATTTGCAGCCTTTCTCTGCTGCCTCTGCAAAATCGGAGTGCTCAGAGTGGATGACCAGATGGCCATTGTCTTCAAAGTGTTTAACAGGTGAGGTAATGGGAGGAGAAGGGCTGGAAGTATTGAGCTGTTTGGGGGGGAGGGTAGAATGAGAAAGCTGAAGACAATTTTAGACAAAATTAAGAGCAGATGTACTTTTTAATGGACTGTACACTGACCCATTATAGCTGTCTCCAAAAGAGGTGATGGCCCCTTGTCTGTCAGAGGCAGAGTGTCCTTCTGGAAAGTTACTTCAGTGGAACACAAGTTATTGAGCTCTGTGGGTGAGGCTCTGTGCTTTGTGAAAGACAGGAATATCTGATCAGAGCATCTAGCATCTCTTCAGGCATCAAAAATAAAAAATCTATGCAACTGGCAGGCTTCCAGYGCTCTTGTAGATGTGTTTCCGGCCCAGGAGGTAGAGTTGATAGTGATGAAACTGGTGGAATGGGTGTTTGGAGTCCAGAGATCTAATCCCAGCCGTATCACTGTTTGGTGGCATGGAAACAATTTCCTTCAATAGTACTTCCAGCTTTAATTTTCCACCTGAAAAGTGGAAGTAGTGATTGCTGTAAGGTAGAAAACTCTGTGCTCTTTTGGAAGCTGTTGAAGGAATGCGAAGTGCCAATGTTTTCAGATAACAGTGGAGATGAGGAAAGATCTGCATGAACATAAGACATTGCAGATAAAACAAACCCCTGCCACTGGATTTCTCTCTGCATTTGGTGTTAGGTACCATCAGGCTGCTTTCTGTGGCAAAGGAGCTGAATATATATTCTGYGAACTGTGCTGTATGTGGGGGTCCTGCTTACAAGTGATGAAGTCGTGTCATTTCCCAGACTGGTTGTTCTTGTCCTSATGTAAGTCAAAGGCAGGAGAAGGCCTTGCCTTAACCCTTCCTCTTCTCTTTGCTCTCAGGTATYTGGAAGTGATGCGAAAACTGCAAAAGACCTACAGGATGGAACCTGCTGGCAGCCAGGGCGTGTGGGGCTTGGATGACTTCCAATTCCTACCTTTCATATGGGGCAGTTCCCAGCTGATAGGTACTAATAAGAATCTTCTTCTCGTGTCCCAGCCTGCCCTCTGCCCCATCTGTCTAGGCTGCAAAGATGATGGGACTTGGGGCTCACTTTTAAATTCAAATATGTCAGATTTATGTATAATGCAGGAGGAGAGTTTGGGGCTTGGATTATTTTATTTTTTTTTTTAATCTCAGCTTTCCAAATAAAGCTGGTTGAGAGATGGAAGGCCTCCTTGTATAGTACATCCATCTTTTTTGCAGTGACTGCAATGAAGCTTTTTAAAAGGAGAGCTTTGATTTTGGTGCTAAAAAATGCAATTTCCACTCTGGGGAGTTTTGTCCTTGCAGAGGCCCTGGAGTGGGAGGTGATATACAAGGGAGAAGCTCTGGGAGTTTCTGGATGAGGGGCAGGACAACACCTGATTGAACTTGGTCACAGGATGAGGTTACCATGCTGGTTACTTCCTGTTGTCTCTTACTCTTTTTAGACCATCCCAGTCTGGAGCCTCGGCACTTTGTGGATGATAAGGTGGTAAATGAAAACCATAAGGACTTCATGTTCCTGGAGTGCATCCTCTTCATTACAGAGGTGAGGAAAGGAAGGTTTGTCCCACRGGGACTTTCTCTTGACATTAGATACTTGGCTCTGGCTGTGGTTTTCTCTTCCTCCTTTGCCTGTTTGTTTGCTCTCGTGGAACCGTGCAGTTGAACCATTGTTGCATGTCTGAGGTGCTCTCCTTGAATGAGTTGAGACAGGGATGTTGATAGGAAAGTGTAATTAAGCAGGATGGGCTGTGGATTGTAGTTGAAGAGAGCTGTAACAAGCACAAACAAATAACCTTGGATCATGGCTTGCATCAGTCAGTGGGAACTTGGATGGAGAAGACTGGTTCCTGCAGATACACTCGGAAGATGAAGTAGGAACTGCAGAACGATTGGGCTTGCCAAGGCAACCTCCCTTCCCTGCAGCCCTTGGGTGCTGCCWKGCAGCCCTGGGCCTCCCCTTGCTTMGGGCAGGCTTCCAAAACCCTGTGTTCCTCTGTCTCCTCCAGGTTCTACCAAAAGAGCTGCCAATTAAATGCACCTTATTTGCAGCTGTCCTAGAGCAGAGGTGGTGCTGAGATTCACCAGCTGGCAGCGCTCTCAGGACTCTGTGTCTGCTCAGGCACTACAGCACCCTTGGGAGAGGGGTGGGTGATCCTCAGCTTGTTGGCAGCCATGGGCTGTTTCCCAGGGAGGGAGCTCGTGCCTTGCTGCCCTAAGCATCAGTGGAGGATCCATTCTTGTTCCTCCCAGTTCCCCCACTGCACAGTCTGGACAGGGAGAGCAAGAACTACCCACTCYGTTGTGGTGAGGGATTTCTTGTCTCTGGCAAGAGGGAGTTGATGGGATTAATTTTGAAGGACAGAGTGCAGTTCCACCCCTTTGTTCTGTTTGCCTTCCCCCCTCCTCGCCTCTCTAATTTAGTGATTAGATGAGAAGGGAGGTTACAGACTATGAACTTAGCCTTTCATGTAGGAAATCTTCRTAGGAGCCTTTGGCCCAAACCCCAGGAGGTGCCGTGTCAAATCCTGCTGAATCTGGTAGGGTGTGTTGGTACTCAGCACCTCACAGGGTTTAACCCTTAATGCCAAAATAAATCRTGCCATGGGTAGTAAAGAGGTGCTGGTGGAAGAGATCAAGATGAGGACAGGAAATCAGGAGCCAAGATGGTCAAAGATTTATTTTAGTTTGGGCCTCTGTAATATSCAGACAGTGCACTGACCTGTTAAAAACATACATCTCTTGAAATGTGTGCYGAAGATTCTGCAGCGCCCAGTTGACAGGTGAAGTTTAAAATACCCAGCACCATCCTGTTGCTTCAGGTTACTCTGCTTCTGCCTACAGAAAGTCAGCTTTTTAGCAGGCTTTTGAAATAAGTGATTTGAGCTCCTTTTCTGCACATTTGCTGTGAATCATGGAATTYGGTGTTTCTGCTGAGTTCCYCAGTGCCACCTGGTGGCAAGGAGCYCTCTCRGCCCTCCTGCCTTGAGCTGAAAGGGAGGGTAACAGCATGCGTTACCAAACCCATGGTACATTCAGTGCATCTCCATGCGGGTACTGTTTCCTTTTTATAAAGATTTTCCTTTTAAAACTTGAGTTTTTTGCCTCCCAAGTGCCTAGGAAAGCCATGACTGCCACTAGGGGGTGTGAGGCAGCCTCAGTGCCCTCTAAATGCTTTCTCTCCAAAATCAACAACAAAACAAAATAGCAGGAAAAAAAGATAGGGGGGATTAAAGACTTTGCTAAATGAATGATATTATTTTCTTCTGAGCTTGTAATCTGGAAACAGCTCTCCTTTAGAGGTGTTTAACACATAACAAACACCACAGCAGTTCCCATAGTGGGTCTGGTATGTCTTGCTGACATGTGAGCAGGTTTTGTTTCAGACTACAACTGAGGAAGGTTGTTTTCTGTCAACTGAGAGAATATTCTCTTGAGCAGGTACTGTTCTCAGCCCCCAGCTGATGTTTCAGGAATATGAATATATGCTGTTATGGTGTTAGCYATGTGTGTATTTAAACCTCAGGCTGCTAAAGCAGCAGCAAGATGATGTCCAGGCTGAACCCACCACAGCATCCTTGTTAGAGCAGTGCCCAGGCACAGCAGTGAATCTTGCACAACCTGATCCAATGTTGGAAAATCTGCAGGGTGGGTTTGGATGGACCTGAACACATGGTTCTGGAACAGGRTGAGGTTTGCAGAGCTGGATGGGACTCGAGGTGTTCCCCTGCTGCTGCCTTTGCCTGCCAAAGAGAAAGTGTGAGAGTGAGGAGGGTTTGGGAGCATCCCTGCAGTGTCTGGCACACAGGGCAGCAAGGCAGGGCTGCCTGTGTGTGTGCAGAACAGGGGTGCTGGGTACRCCCCAGCTGTTGTGGGGGATCAGTGCACTCGCCCAGATGCTCCTCTGAGAGCTCAGGGCAGGCAGCAGGAATTTCAGCTTCAATCTGGCTTCTAAATTTGGGAAGGGAGGGCTCGGGTTTCTGCTGGAAGGAAGGAGCTGACAGGAAAGCACGGCCTCAGCCGTCCCCCTCCCCCCTGCACTGACAGAGGAACCATTTACAAAAGGCCGATTCTCTTGGGAACCGAGAGGCAGGAACGCCGCGTCTGTGAGTAATTTCCTGCTCAATATGGCTGCTCTGACTCACTCCGTTCCCCTGGGGTCACTGCGGGACTGCAGCGCGCTCGCCGCCTCTCGCTCTCCCCCCCAGCYCTCCCTCTTCGCCCTTTGTGGCTGGAAGGAGATGATTTTTTTTTTTGTTGTTGTTGTTCCCTTCTCCTCCCTCTTATTTTTCCCTCCCCAGCTTGAAACCRTAGCCAAGCCATCCCTCGCTGGGCATCCTGGGTGAGGAGGGCCATGGTGGTGGCTGTGCCAGGTGTGAGCATGGTACTGGCCAGCTGTGCCTGCCTCCTCCGTGCTCTCCAGCACTGTTGCTTTGGTTTGGGAAGGGGAGAAGAGCACGGTGGTGGTGGCTGATGCCAGATGTGCCCCTGCAAAGGGCGGTGACGCCGGGGGAGGGTTTGGCGTCAAAACTCAGGCAGCCAAACCTCCTGTGCGGGGAGGGGAGGCTTTCATGGAGCCACTGGCACCGTGCTCCCTGGCAGCCACTGCCTTGGGTGCCCACCAGTGCCAAATCCTGGCTGTGGGTAACACGCTGGCGCTGCTGGGGAGTGCTGTGCTTTGTGTGCGCGCACGTTTCATCTCGTACCCGCGAGGGAAGCGCGTGGCGGAGGGGACGGGAGCGGCTCATCCGTCATCCCCAGCCCACGGGAAGCACCAAAGGGAAGTGGAGATGCACTTGGGCTCTCCTGGCATTGGGCAGAGCTGCTGACCCACTTCCCCCGCTGCTCCAGCGCCCAGGCCAGCGGGTTTGGAACACATCCACCCTCCAAGCAGTGGGGTTTTTGGGTCCCCCCACCCTCTCCCTCTCTTTCTTTCTCTGCTGCAGGCTGGTGTCACACAGGCATTGCAGGAAGGCAGCAGCGTTTTCCCAAAGCAGATTGATTTGCCTTGCTTGCTTTTATAGTGGGCAGGGAGGTTGTTTTGGAAGTGCTTTTCCCACCCTTTCTCCAGGCCTGTGCGTGTGTGGAGGGAAGGGGTGAGTTGTTCAAGCCCCAAGTYGGGAATAAGAGTCCAAGAGATTCCTCTCTCCCCACGCTCCACTTTAGCGTGAGCTTCGGCCTTGTGGTTTCTGATGTCATGGGAACTTCGCTCAGTCAGAGTGGCTGTGTTGTATTTCTTTTTCTCCCTGAGGGTCTGTTTTTGTTCATGGAGGAGAAGGAGAGACAACTACCCAGAGAATCTGCATGCAACTGCCTCTGATTGCAGCTTCCCTCCTGCCTGCCCTCCCTCCTCCAAACCCCTCGCCCTGGGTGGAGAAACAGTGGAATTAAAAAAAAAAAAAAAAAAAAAAATTTAAAGCATCTGCTCCAAGCCAGCAGCTCACAGCTCTGGAGCTAGTTTGGAGAGCGTGTCCCCTCTGGTTGTGCTTCCCCTAGAGCTCTCCTCAGCAATAGGCAGGTGTGGAGTGGGCTGTGGACACAGAGCTGCTGCCAACCTGCACTGCCCTCTGTATTCAGGGAAGGCAGCGACGGTTGTCGCTGCTGCTTGTTGTTGATCTGAATGGGGAATGAGTCATTTTCTTGGAAAGCCCAGCAGTGCTGCACTGGGAGGTTTCTGGGTAGAATAGGAACAGCGTTGAGCCAAGCTCTACTGGGGGGGAGAACAGGACTTATGTGGGGCTTTTTTAATGCAGTCATTAAAAGGGAGGTGTGCAGAGGGAGGTCTGATTAGGAAAGCATGGCAGGAAAAGGCTTAATTTTATCAGGGAAGGAGGGGAGCTGGATTGCCACGGCTCCATGTGATGTGGCCGCAGCGGGAGGGAGGGAGGGGAGTTGCAGTGAGGTGGCTGGTGCGTGGGTCACTGGGCTTGGTGGGAATGTTTGCTTGGAGAGAGTGTGAGCGTGAGTCACTGCTGGTGCACGAGCTTCCTGGCTGGCCTGGCTCCCTCAGCCCTGTGCTTGGGTCTCTTGCAGATGAAGACGGGCCCCTTTGCCGAGCACTCCAACCAGCTCTGGAACATCAGCGCCGTGCCCTCCTGGTCCAAGGTCAACCAGGGCCTCATCCGCATGTACAAGGCAGAGGTGAGTGCTGTGGGCAGGAGAAGGCTGCTCAGCCACACTCCTCCTCTCTTCCACAGCACCAGGATTGGCTCTTGTGCTGTCCCAGGTGTGGGGACTCCATCACAGCTGTTTGTTACCCCTTGCTGACTGTGGCTTGGGAGCCCTTGGCCCAAGGTGCTGCTGGCTAAGAAGGAAGCTCCTGCCTTGTGTTTGCCCCAAACCCAATCCCAAAGTGGCCATTCCTTGCAAACATGACTTTTGCCATATCTTACCATCATGCAGGTACAGATCTCCAAATTAGGGCTAACGTCTTGACCTTGCTCTTCTGGTCCACCACTATTTTACCAGCTAGAGGAGACGTATTTAGAATTACCATCCCACATTTCAAGAGCCCCAGAGTAGGCTGAATGCTTCCTGCTGATTTCCCCTTGCTACAAGCCCYATCCGTGCCATGTGCCAGCCCAGCAAGGCCACAGCCACCTCCCTGGTTTGGCAACTCTCCGCCCAYCAGCTCTGCTGGCACTGCCCCAGGCTTTCCTGGTGAACCCTGACCTGGAGACCTGGGCAGTTTTGGCTCTCCCTTATCTTCCTTCCTGCTCAAGCTAACCCTGGGCTTGAGGAAGCAGGACAGGAACCGTCACATCTGGGTCTCYGGAGGGAACGGTGCTGCCTGTGCAGGATGCACTGACTGTGCTAAAGCACTGGAGGAGCAGGGATGGTGCAACTCTCTGGTGGCACCGAGGGAGACTGGTGGTGCCTGAAGGAGTTAACCCCACAGCCTGCAGTTCTGCTGGTGTCAGCCATGCTGCTGTTGGCAGCTGGGACATTCTCCTGTTGCTGGGACACACGGGCTGTGCTCAGGCCCAGCGCACAAAGGGGTTAACTGTGCCGAACGGCCGCTCCCTCCCCCAGCCCTTCCTCTGCACTGCACATCCTGTGTTTAGGTTCCAGGCCACATACCTCTCTAATCTGTGAGGTGTCACTCCCAGGCCCGCTGGCTCCTTCCGCCCCCAGCTCAGTTTTCCTCCCAGCCTCCAAAGAGGAGAAGTGGGGCTGGGGGCCGACCCCTTTGCCTGGCTGCTCCTGGGAGGGGTGCCCCGGGCTGCTCCTTGGTGGGAGGGGTGTCCCTGGGCTGCAGCTCTGTCACAGGGGCTGGAAACACTGCCTGCTGGAAAACCCTGAGCTGGAGGCTGTGGTGTGAGAGCTGAGGGGTCTCAAGGGAAGATCACAGCGCTGTGAGTGCCTTTAAAGTGAAACTTGAGTCTCCTAAAACCTTGAGTCTCCTAAAACCTTCAGCATGGTCTGCTGCTGCCTCAGCAGCCCTGCCGTGCTCCTTCCTTCCCTCTGGATCAGTTCCTTCACAAACTGATTACTCCCCTGGCATCCCCCATGCCCCAGGGTGTTCAGGTGCTGCTGCTGGTGGCCCACATGCCCTGTGCCATGGTTGCTGGAGGAGTTTGGCAGTGATGAGCCCTCAGCGCAGTGCCCATGTTCACTGATGTCTTGGGGCTGTTGTGTGCTGGCAGATATAACTGTCCCATGTCCCCTGGCTGGAGACAGCACAGCTGAGGGATGCTTTAGAGACTGGGAGATTCTYTGCCTGTTCTATGTACAGCAAAGACATGTTTTTTTTCTGAAGGCCTTAGTTTTGAGTAGCAGGTGACTTTCTGTATGAAAATRCTGGATCCAGTACTGGTAGGTTTCTAGAAATATCTGAGATGTAGCTGTGTCAAGGGGACAATGCAAAAACTTTTATGAAGGGTAATGACATGGATTTAGGCTGAAGCGTAAAAAACATTGAGTCAAACAAAGCACTTAAATTTAGGTTTTTTTGCCTCAAAGAGTATTTGTGGTCCTAAGAACATGATCCTCATGCAGTGTTGTCCTCTCCTGGTGTGGCATGGCAGATGAGAGGGGGGCACTCCTGCTCAGGGGTCCTCACTGGTTCTTTGTAATAGATATATCTTTAGATATAATATATTCTGGGGAGTTTTCTACCCTGCTGCTGGCTCAGCCAGTTCCTGCCTGGCTTGGGAGATGACAGGGGTGTGGATGTGGACATGGCAGCATGGCTGGGCAGAACTTAAAGTTATGGTGTGCCTGGCCCTGCAGGTTACACCAACATTTACAACTAGAGGRTCTCTTTGATATTCTGGGAATAATACAGGGTTAGGAGTCACTGGACCTTCTTTGCAAACTGAACCCTGGGTGTTTCAGGCCAGGCACAAAGTCACTGCTGGAGATCTTGTCTCTTTTCTGCTGGCTCCCAGTGTRTTTCTGCTCTCTCTGTAGCCTTCACCAGTGCAGTCTTTCTGCAATTAGCCACTGTCAGCATTAGCAGAAGAGAAGTAAGCAACACCCYTCAAGTGCTGACATGGGTCTTTGTSCAGCTCAAGGCAGGCAGCTTCTGTGGGGTGTGTGATGGCAGAGAGAGGGAARGTTTGGGGTTGTGGTGTTGCTTTATCTGACTGGCAAAGGTAAAAGCAGGATTTCAGGCTTTATTTATTTTCTTCTCCCTGCCCCTCTGATCACCCATTGCAATTAGATCAGGTGAAATCAGACACTCAGCTGGAGGCTCCAGCTCTGTAACACGCCTGGGGTGGCTGAGGATCGCTGGGTGCGGATGGTGCTGACCGGGACCGGGGTTGAGTGGAGGCAGCAGCAGAGGATGGGGTCAGACCARAAACAGACCAGGAGAAATCCCATTTGGTGGGAATGGGGCAGCCCCCAGACCTCATTCATTTAAAAAACACTCCAAAGGCTTTATCTGTTCTCTGTCTTCTCTGTGGGATGACTTTTAAACATCCAGGAGAAAGCTCAGGTGTGTCCGTGTGTCCAGGAGTTGTGGTGTGGATCCAGGCACTCCAGGGTGGATCAGCAGTAGACTGAAGACAATGTGTCTTCAGCTCTTGTGTGTTTATGAAATCCCAAATGTGTCTATTTATAATATAATGGGTGAAGACGTGTTCGCTTGAAAGTCCAAGGGCTTTTCTTGTTCTCTCCATCAAAGGCAAGGGAAGAAGTCGACAGAATAGAGTGTGGTTAAAGCAGCAGCCTTGATGTTTTTCCCCTGAGCCTGCTTTTGAGTCTCCTGACCTTTCCTTCTCTGCAGTCAGTCAGGAAATACTTTCCATTGTAACTAATCCAGTCCCAGTTCCATCTTTAAAGGTTGGACTTKGTGTATGAATCTACTCCCCAGTAGAGTCCCAAGCAGACCTTCAGTGTGATCAAGATGGTGGYAAGAAGAAATAACCCTGAAATTGAGCTAGTGTTGGATAGTTTRTCCACAGCTGATGCAAGGAGGGCCCTCTCTTGGTACATCTGATAGTCCAGTAAATTTGTGCTCGTCCTTCTGGATATAAGAGAAGTTTCTCTGCTTGTCTCTTCTTGGGCTGGTGATGTGTTAAGTGGAATGGATACCCATTCTTCCACTGGTGGTAAAGTCTCTTCATCTGGAGCCCAACCAGTCTTCCATGGGATTCYTTGGAGCTAATTGGGCTGACATTTYTAGCTGTCAGCATCTCCAGTGTTCATTTCTCTCTGCTCTCCCCTCATGTCCCTGTTATCCGGCCCTGCCTCCTCTGAGAGTTTGCCTAAGTGGCTGTGTGGAGCGATGGCAGCAGCTCTGAGCATTAGGAAGCTTTGAAGGTGACGTGCCCTGGTGCTTGCAGGACTTCTCCTTGGTGCCTTGCCATGGAGCTTTGTGGTTTTCTGCCTGTCTGTTCCCCAGTTGTGCTGTACTTTCACCACCTCCAAACTTGTTTGGCTCCAGTGTGCTCGTGCTTGGAACAAGTTGCCTGACCTCTGGCTCCCAAGGGATTGCTGTAAGCCTGGGGCTTCCGAGCACAAATCCTGCTGCTTGCCCATGATGACAGCRTGAGGGCAGGGTGCCTGTGCCTGAGTCCTTGGGGTGAGACCTGTCTGCAGCACACATTTCCTCCCCAGCCCCAGAGTGTCCCCCGCTGCAGCGAGTCCAGTTTGGCCCCATGGAGAGCACAAGACTCCTTCCTATGGGGAATTGTAGCCACATCATGGCTGGCGAACACGCATTGCTGAGGTCTGTGTGATGGAGCTGAGCCTGCTCTGTTGCCCTCATGAGGTTTGGGCAGTCTGAGTCTGCGGTGACTCAAAAACCAGAGCTCTGAGTGGCTCTGCCAGGCGAGTGCTGGCAAAATCTGCCATGGTTATTGACCACCGTGCATGACCTTCCTGCCATAGGGCTGGTGAGTGGAAGGGGTGTGCCCTCACAGCTCTGCTCACCCCTGGGTGCGGGGCCTGGGTGTAGCTGCAGGAAGAAGCTCTTGAGCTGATCTGCCTTTTAGTGGACCTATATGACTGACCTCTGGTCTATTACTCTGCAGTGGGAGGTGGAAATTTCAGGGGTGAGGGTTGCCAGAAATAGGATCATATCTTAAASTATGGCAGCAAAATGACTGCTGCTTGTCCTTCAAGGTCCAAGAATCTGGAATGCAGTTTGGGCAGCGCCTTGCAGCTGCAGGATGGTGCCTCAAACCMAGAGTGTGAGCACTGGCCTGGAGGGGAAGAGTCTCTCTGCCCCTGGGGCTTCTGCAGTTCTCAGTGTTCACAGGATGAAGCTCTTCAAAGAGATCAGCTCGAGCAAGGAGAGTGGTGAGGGAGAAAGCTGCTGACATAGACATGCTGCTTTTGCTCACGCTCCAGGCCTGAATTTCAGTGAGAAAAAGACTGGCTGAAGGGAAGGGRCTGGGGTTATGAAGTGTTACTGGCCTGAGGAGCCTGACTGGAATGTGGGAGTGAGACATGGGGCTGATCCTCTGCCTTCATCTGAGCTGAGTGGCCCCAATCTCGCCGCCTCCTGACCTTGCGGACAGGATGTGGCTCTGGCTGCGGGTGTAAGGTGGAAATGTCTCCTGAATTCACCTTTCTTTATCTCCCCTCCTGCAGTGCCTGGAGAAGTTTCCTGTGATCCAGCACTTTAAGTTCGGCAGCCTGCTCCCCATCCAGCCTGTGACRTCCTAAGGGGGCTGCGGGAGGAGTCGAGGCAGCGGAGGCACAGCGCGGCGCTCTTCCTCCTCCCCTCACCCCCTCCTCACCACCCAGCCCATCCATTCCTGCACATCCTCATCAGCAACCACAGATCCAAAGCACTCGCTGGCCTGGCACGGGAGATGGGACCTGGAGCAGCTCCTCCTGCACGTCCTCACCCTGGGGACGTCTCGCCAGTGGCCGAGCTGGGGCCGTGCTGCTCTGCTGTGCCGCATCCGTGTGACTGCTGGACATGGGGATGGGTTTGAACAGGGGCTCAAAGACCCTCTGCATCCCTTCCCGRGAGAAAGGGGCGTGGAGGGGAGGAAGGCACGTGTGTATGTGTTGGGCAGTGGTAACTGCAATTTCCCTTTTGAATTTCATTGGAGTTTCCTGTCGCTGTTTGCTTTGGGAAACCACTCTGCGGGGTGAGGTGTGAGCCTGCGCATGTCTGTATCAGCCTGCTCTGCCTGCACGGGAGGTCTGAAATGGGAAAAAGGAGTTGTAGGGAATGTCTGTGGGTTATGGAAGCCCAGGATACTGTCTTTCTCTTTTTCTGCATAAGGAAAGCCCCCTCCCTCCACCTCTTCTGCAAGGTTTCCTGGGTCTTCCTTCCCCACTAGCGCCTTTTCTCTTGGGTGAAGCTGGGAACTTGCTGGGCTGCGTGGGTCTGAGCTGGCTCTGGAGCTGGAGACAGGGTCCCTTGGAGGGACCCAGCTCTGTGGGAACAGCTATGCAAAGACACTGCTCAGGCTCCCTCTTTAACGGGCACAAACCCTGACACGTTCACACACATCCATGGCTGGGTCCAACCTGCCCCGGAGCTGGGCTGGCCTCAGTGGCACAAGGTGACCRTGGTTGCTCCTGCTTGGTCGTAAATTGTAGTGACAGCCCCACAGCAAAGGGATTTCCCCACGAAGCAGCACGATCCCCAGCTCTTCAAGGGGGACATCCCTGGAGCACAGGCAGCATGAGGGGGCAGCATGCGGCTTCTCATGCATTATTATACTCGCGCTGGAAACAAAAAGCATAAATAGCCCAGGACAGCAGGTTATATCTGGAGAAAGCTCTTTCTCTTTGTCATTCCATGCCGGTGTTGCTGTGCTGGATCTCAGGCAGAGGGACCACACTTGCAGTGCCACCAGCAGCGGTCTGTTGAAGGCAGGTGGTCTGGGTCACACCAGCAGCATCACTGGAGGGCAGAAAGGGCTGCGATGRGTCTGAGATGAGCTGTCTGTCCATATCTTGACCAAGGTGATGCACAGCTTTGCAGCTGCAGAGGGGATGKTTCTTCTTGGGGTTCCCAGGCTGGATGTGGGGGGGGGACAGGGACTGGACTGGTGTTTGCTGGGCATTAGGAACAGCAGGAATCCTTCCTCTGGCATTCTTGCAAACCATGGAGGRGCTGCCTTCAGCCAGGCTGCTCAGCTTTTGCTGCTGGACTGCTTTACTGCTGGGGTGKGGTCAAGAAACATGATTGTGATATTTTAAATTTTATTTTTTTTTTTTCATTGTTTTTAACAGACCTACTCACTCCTTCTTGTAAAGGTTCTTGCAGGCACTCAGGGGAAGAAGAGTAAGAAAAGATTTCTAAGTTAAGAGGTGGTGAAATGTCCATAGAGCTGATGCAGAGCTTTCTGGCACTGCTGCTGTCCTGTCTGCTCCTGGCTTGGCCCTGGGCAGGGGGTGGTGAACAAGGAGCTTTTGACCTGCCTGAAACAGCTCTATAAACTTTTATTTTAAATGAAAATTGAAGACTGGGGTTAAGTCTCGTTTTACTCCTAACTGGGAGTATGTTTTGTATATGTTTTGTCCTGGCTTTCCAAACGGATCCACTCCAGCAATGTTGCTGGAGATCTGTGTGTATGCTGGGACTTGATGAGTCCATCTTCAGTGGAGCAGCCTGTGCCTGGAGCAGACACTTCTGGTGTCTCCACCTGTGTCCCCTCACGTTGCTGTGTCTTTGGCAGGTGTCCCCATGCTTAAATGGCTGTGCAGCATCTGGCCAGCAATGGCTGAGCAAAAGCCTCCTTTTCCTTAATCTGCCCAAGGGTCRGGAAAACATCTCTCCTGGCCTTCTTGTGGAAATTGGGCTTCCATGCAAAAGGATGGGTGGAAATACTGACATTGATAATGGGAGGGACTCCAGGAATGTGGAATTCAGCACCAAAAAAGGGTGGAGAGGTGCTTCCTTTCCCTGCAGCTGCAGCACTGCTCCCTGGGGACAGTGTCCCTGGGCTTGGGACCTGTGGAGGCGGTGGGAGGAGGCTCACGCACAGTTCTGTGTTTGTTGCTTGCCCGAGTCTGCACATCTGTCCTGCCGGGGATTTCGGGATGTCAAGCAGCTAATTCTCCTTTGAGTCTTATCAGCCCACTTGGGATGTGCCCCCATCACGTGGCAGCCACTTGCTTTGCCTCCCTCTCTCTCCCACCGACATCTCCTGCAGGTTCTCGGCTCTCAGCTGCTCTGCCTGTGTGTGTGACAGCACCCAGGGCTGCTCCGTGTCCGAAGCAGCACCTCCCACCTTCCCCCTGTGTTGTAGGTTTAATTAAAGTTTCTGTGTTTTGCACTGGTGACTGCGTTGGTCTCTCTCAGACTGGGATTTGCTCCCGCTTTGGGAGCAGAGCCAGCAAAGCCAACGGCCGGAGCCTTTGGAGCAGGGAAGAGGCCTTGTGGAGGCATTTGCCATGTCGGTGGTTGACCTTGTGCTTTCACCAAAATTGATTCGTTATTTAACTGCATGATCAACTACATCCAGTCTGTCTTTGTGTTCTTCCAAGGTGTCTTTCTSTTGTATTGTATGGTTTATTTATTCACTTTTTTGCCGTGTCCACCCTCCATCCCAGCTGGGATTTGGCAGGTAGGTGATGTGTGAAGCCCAATCCCAGGCCTGCAAATACCTCTTGAGGATCAGAGGCTRTYGTTACCAAAGGACRGTTGAGCCTTGTTTCTGAGGCATGKTGAGAACTGGAACCTTTTTCTTCAGATGTTTTTCCTGTCCTGCTGTAGGAGCTGACTCAGGACTTCCAGCATCAGTGTAGTTCAGCAGCTTTGTTGGATTTATAATAGACCTGGATTAAATTAAACCTGGACCTTCTCATGAGTGGTTGGAGGTAGCATAGCTGTGCTTTGCAAATGCTCCTTTTCCTRTCTCTGGGTTACATCTTCTCCATCAACACAGGCCAACTGTGTGAGCGYGTGTTGCTAAAAGTGGCAGCAGCGTGGAGGGGTGGATGGTGAGCAGAAATGTCATCTTGGATCACAAATGTTTGCTTTGAAGGCACTTGAATTCGTCTTGAGCGTGTCCCTTGGCGAACACGACGSGCAGCGAAGGGGAAGCAGACATAGYGTGGGTTTGTGACCATCTTCTCCCTCATCCCACTGACCACGCCATTATTTTTTAAATTGGGTTTTCAGAGCTGGATGCTTGGGGTTGCCATGCATAGGCCAGTTTGTGTTGCTGTTTAACAGCTGTTGCCTTTGCACGGGGTGCATTTCGCAGATCGCCGTCAGCATTGCCCTGTCTCTTCCTTCACAGCCCTCCTTTATAAGTGATCGCTCMTGGCAGCCAGTGAGGAAGGAAGAGTTGAGAGAAGAAGCCTTGTGTGGAGATAGGAGTAACAGAATAAAAAATAGAACTATTTGATGTCACTGTTGCTGTATTAACTTGTCCCTGGCGTGTGGCTCAGTTCYGTGGTGCCGGGATCCTGCGAGTGAATAAACAAAGCAGCAGGACCTGCAAACTCTGAGCGGGCACTCGCCAAGGTGAAGGTGCACTTTGTACCCCAAGGGCCTGCTGCTGAACCACACAAGAGCCCTGGACTCTGCACTGTGTCCCTGCAACTTCACTGGCTTCCTGAGAGAGGGCAGGAGGCAGAAATGGGTCAGAGAAGGTGAAATTGGTTGTTAATGATAACTGCTAAAGTAACCTGAACTCTCCCACTGCCAACGTGCTGGTGGAAACCTTGAACGCTTGAGAAGCTCACAAGGATCTTCTTGCTGTTTCAACAAAGACTCTCCTGGCTCAGATGTAGAATTTAACAGGKCTTTTGGAGGTCATTTCATGCTCTAATAGCCAAGAGGAGATATCTTCATCCTTTAACTTTGCTTCCCCTTTGGTGGATGAGCACTCTTCTCATTGACATTGGAGAAACTCCTCAAACATTCTGGGGAACACAGGGTCTTGTAAAATTGTGCCAAACTTCAAACTAGGATGAGCCAAATTGAAAAAGGGCTGTTTCCACATCAGATTCAGCGAGGCCTGAACCGTGACGGGCATCTTCAGCTTGGAGATGGGCTGGTTCTGAGGAGCACAAGGCTGTGAGCAGGTTTTGGAGGTTAGAAAAGGCCTTTCAGGGGGTGGAATGATTGCTTCTGCTTGCTATAAAAAGCCTGGGCTTGGGAATGTCTACATGGGCCGGCTCTAGGCAGGGCGGCAGGGCTTCAATGCAGTTGTCTAAAATTGGAACGAGTCCCTCCCCATGTTCCCAGTTGCAACTGTAACACGGATAATAAATAACATCGAAATCCYGCATCAGAATTCGGGCTCCTTAATGCTCGGTGTGGTCACACCCATGAAAACAAAAAATCCCCAGGACGGGGGTCCTGCAGGAGCGAGCTTCATGATCCTGACCCAGCAGCACCATGGTGTGGGGTTAAGTGCTCCTGAGCACATTTTCCTTCCTTTTTGGAAGAAGATTAAGGTTTTGCTGACCCTATAAATGRAGGAAGGAGAGAAAGCTGAGGATACGTTCCTTATTCCTTCTCCTGTTTTTTAAGGCACCTGGGAGAGATAAACCCAAGCAGACTGCACCACACAAGTCCAGGTACCATAGTTTCCATTTGGACATGGATTCCCCTCTGTTTTATGTGTGGAAATGTTTTTTTTTTTGAAATGGTGAAGTATGTAATGCTGGACACCAGCACCACACTCCAACAGCTGCTGGGTAGACACAGCACTTCCGGCTTCAAATGCTGATGCTGAAGGAAATCTGCGTTGTGCTGTGACTAAAAGAGCAAAGCATGACAATATTCCTAAGARTTTATTGTCTTGTAATGACAAAAACTCTAGAAAATTGGTTGATGTGGAGGTTAGAAATTCCAGCTAGATTGCAAGATACTGGAGTGTGTTCTTTTATCAGGTACTTGCTGATCACTGCAAGTGACTGCTCTGCAAAGRGCCTCACTTTTCCATGTTCAGAGCATCTACCTTTAAAAATATTAGTTTAGGTATTACATACCCCCTTTGAAAAAATTCCCTTGTAGGCGAGAATAAAACTTACAAAAAGGCTGTTACAGAGATCATCAACTCTCTATTAGATAGCTTGGAATATGCTCCACTAGCACCAGAGTTTAGTCTTCTCCAAATTACTGTAGAGGATT